CTACAAACAATTTCTCGCATCACCTTGGTGAGCTGCTCTCCACCGTGCTTAAATAACTCTGCTGGGATGCCATCGCTACCTGGTGACCTATGGTTCCTTAGTTTTTCTTTAGATATTTTCACTTCATCTACCGAGGGCGGATCCACGAGTTCCTCATTTCGGAATTTCAGCTCTATATTGTTAGTAGGTTCCCCTTCCAGCAGCTCTCGAAAGTGCTCTACCCATCGTAAAAGGATATCCTCTTTGTTGGTAAGTAAGTTACCTTTCTTATCATTACAATGCACCTTCCATTAAGTAATGGTATTTTTTTTATTCTGTTGTTTATCACTTCGAGTTAATCACTGACTGAATCCACTGATGAAAGTAATATTCTCCTCTGAAATCAGGGAGCATCTCATCAGAAGTAACAAATGCTGAATGATTGTAAGCATTATAACATATATTTTGACATTTTCTTACGACCTGGTCAAATACCAGAAGAATGGGAGCTAATTTTCAATTTTACTCATGCTGTACATGTTTTTTCTTATCATCAAACATAGTGCAACGAAAAAGAAATCAGATTCATTATAGAGTCATGGTAAGATAAATAAATAAATATATGATAACCTTTTCTTCTCCAAAGATCTTCTACATTGTTACGGTGTTAGACGGTTAGAGTGACCTAGCCCAGATAATTACAAGAACCCATAAAAGCACAGATTTCCGTTTCATCAGTAGGATTATAATTCCGCACTCGCGAATAGTTTTCTTGAATAGGGCTATGTATTTATATGTATTTTCCAAGATGACCAATTACGTACCATCCTCGAAATAATTTCAAATCTTGACAGCGTCTTTTAAGTTTTTAGTAATTTTTGTAGGTCCTAGTAAGGGATTTATTATAACGTTATCCAGTCTTGTTCTAGTGGTTCTTGGCTTTGCAGAATGCTTCTTCCAGTGAGTTGTACGTTCGTACCTAAAACAATAAAAATTTAATATGATTTACTAATAGATATTCTAGTTTTGTTAACATATCTATATTGAAAATACAGCTTCATTTGCATTTGACATCTGTTCTTATTCACTGTTGTGATTTATAACTTCCTATGTTGTTCTGTTCCTCTTCATTTGATTCGTCTTGATGCCACTGATTTACTATCAGTATTATCTAGTCCTACTTCTTTTAAAAGTTTCTGCAAGTAATCTTGCCCGAGTACTGCTAAAATCTAACAAACTTTTACTTAGAATTAGAGAAATGTACAAATATCTAATAGCATACCACGGAATATTTTTGTATAGATATTAGTGGCACCGATCTGGGATACCAGCAAGAGAGTTTAATTGAAATACAATTAAAAATGCAAATGAACCTTGTTAGATTAGTTATAAAAATTCGAGATTTGAGGTATAACGTAGAATTCTCCAAATAACATGGATAACAAACATATCACTGAGAAGTATTATAAACGCACTTTAACTAAAACATTTCTAATTGAAAATTTACGAGATTTTAAAAATGTGAAATTCATACAGACATGCAAACGTTATGCAATGCAATGTACAAGGTGTCCGTATAGTTAAATTCATATTTTGGAAATGTAATCTAAATTCAAATATAAAGCGAAACAAACAATAACAATAGGAGGTCCATTTTATTTGTTTGCAGTTATAAAGAGACAAAGTGTATTGTCGAAAACATCCATAAACAAAGGGTTAATTGCATTGCAGACATCCCTACTCAATTAGTGAAATTTTCAAAGTGCCCTCTTCGGTACTGACGTGCTTTTAACCCTACTGAAGCGGTAACACATCTTATTGCATTACGGTTTACGTGGTTTCCTGAATGTAGTTCAAGAATTCCTGTCAGGTGTTTGCTAAGTCTCTGCGTAAACTTAAAAATATAAATGAAGCTTATTATGATCTACGGATTTGGCCGATCATGAAATAATATGACCGTACCCCATATTTCTGATTACAAATTGGACATTCTCTAAAATTTGTGGCAATTCTTCACTTAAGTACAATTATTACAAGCAGTCACGTGCAATTAACCGTGAGAAATGAATGTCGATATCTATATCGTTATTGTTTTTGGTTATGTTTTTTTTTTCATTTGAATAATTCTTCATTGGGACTAGTTGGGTTGGCCCGAGGAGCAACTGAAATTGATCAAAAACAGGTCATTAATTAATTGACTATATGGACCGACGATGTTAAGAAAAAATAAATTTAGATACATGTATAGTTGGTTGCCTATCGATACCTACAAAATTTCACGTACATCAGTCTACCTACATTAATTTATAAAACAATTTTCTTTAATGTTCTCAACATACATATAGGACAAATTCACATTACAGACTGCAACATTGATGGTTGATACTGTTATATTACTATATTTTTTAACTTATTCAATTTTAAATAATGCTGGCTTCTGTCATATTTAGACAACTACTGTAAGTGCAATGACTGCTTTGTTCCGACATCCGTCCTAACATGTCAATATTGTCATTTTTATCAGTTGTTATCAACAGGTCCTCCAAGACACTTTGTCTCAGGACCATTTAAACTATGTAGAGTCATACGTCGCCATGTTACCAATTCCAACGGTAACTTAAACATCTTAATTTGTAATAACATATAATGTAACAAAATTTTAAATTAACAACATTTAACGGGTTTTCACCCATATATTTTAGTTGCTCATAGCATGTATACTTTGTAAGTATTAACCACATTTTGCATTAACCTTAGTCAACATTTTAAACTCTATGTTCTTTTTAATTAAAGTGGTTATATACTTTTAGGTTACACTGATGATGGAATTTTCATTCCGAAAATGTTCTGTAATGTATTTGTGATATAGCCCGTTTGGGTATTTTATTATATACCTTTTATAAAGGATTTGAAATAAAAAAATTTTGTTATAAGTTTCTTTAGCGCAATTTTAAAAGAGTCACGCCAATGCATTTCTTCATCTCACTCCTCTGTTGGTGTTCAATTATTTAGTATAGCTATTTTCGGCTTTTTGTGTGGGTAAAGGGGTGGAATGCGAACACATGGAGTTGGTTAAAGTTTACTTCTCTTAACCTCTTCTATTCAAATCCGACTCTCACCTTCACGCTGGTGTCTCCTGATAGAACCGAGCAACCCAACTGGAGATCCTATATACAACCCGGGTGGAAAGTTAGGTCGGAAACTGACGAGAGTGGGTGAAATTGTCCTCCGAAAAGGACATTGTGCTATGGGACGGCGTTTCGTACATGTAGAAATTTGAAGCCATGAAACAGAAATTATTGCCTCGGAATAGGACATATATTAAGTATAAACGAAACATGCAACGGAATAAGGATATTTGCATAGAAACGGGAAATGTGTTATGTTGGTATAGACCTGCAATAGCGACAAGAGCCATGAGACAATTACAAAAATATAACATGGATATCACTGCAATATAAGAAATAAGATGGACACCAACGGGAAATTTGGAAATTTGAGATGCTATAGTATTTTGGTCGGGTAGTGAGAAAACAGACATCTAATAACATGATTGTTAAATCCACCCAATCTGAAAGAAAGGACATTTACAAGGTCACATGGGTTTTAAATGATGGAAGAACACGTAACAAAATAGATCATGTCTGGATCATAGAACATGAACAAAGAGAAAGATGGAACATAGAACAAGAGCACAGACAAGGCGATTAATCAAAACTAAAAAGAGGGGCTATATAGAACAGCAAATACGAGAAATGGACATAAGTGGCGAGAGAAATCAGGTAAAGAAATTATTTAGGGAAGTAAAGACAGTCAGATAAGGTAAAACTATTGGGGTAACACAAGCTATGAGAAATAAAGCAAGTGAACTAACAATGATAACATAGAAATCGTCGAACGATGGAAGGAACATTTTCGAATTTACTAAATCAATCTCTCAATTATCTTGCTAAAGAGGCTTACTCCGTATTCGGATGATATTTTAGGCGACTACCAATGCGGCTTTCGTGCTGAAAGGTCAACAATAGACCAAATATTCATGATCCGATAAAAATTAGAAAAAAAAACTGGGAATTCAACCGAAATGTACACCAATTTTCTGTAGATTTCCAGCAAGCATATGATTTGATAAAAGAAGTAGACTATGGCTAGCAATGCTAGAAATGGGACTACCAAGAAAATTAGTGGAGCTAACTCAAATGGTCTTCTTCGCCAATTTAGTTTCTATGTTTTTCTGTATTGCTTTCCATGCAGTCAGGAGTCTTCGGGCATCATCTCTGAATCACTGAAATCCTATCGCTTCATATCTTAGGGATTTGGTTCTTATTAGCTATTCTTATATTTCCTTCTTTGTCTCTGCACAGATTTTTGTCTCCTTCTGATTATTTAACGCATTTGTCCAGTTTTTCAAGCATTTTAGTTGCATACTTACTCTCAAAGAATAATTCTTTATGTTTATCATCTTGTAAGCTCTACTCAAGCTCCTTATAAGCTGCTCGTGTTTTTCTTTGTTGCAATAGCGTGTATACCTGAGTACTTTCATAAATATGTGATAATACAGAATGCGTCTATTGAACATAGATGTCGGTACTTATGCTGCTTTTATTGCTCACTCAAGGCTAAATTTGTTTATCCGCTTCTGCAGAGAAATAATTTCAGCAATATTGAGAGATAAAAAAAAATTGAGCCGCGTTTAACTCATTGTACTCGAGTGAACATATCAAAAGGTTTCATTCCAACCTTAAAAATCTTCCAATTTTCTTGATATGGAGGTTTCATGGCGTTTACATATACTTCACAATAGTTTTATTAACAACTTATTTTTCTCCTCTACCTTTTAGTAGCTAGCAACTCTTCCATAAAGGTTTAAAAAGATATCTGCTAGTACGTCGGTAGCGTCCAATCTCTTGGAAGCTTTCACTATTTTAGGCACTTATGAATAATTACATTATATTATGAGAGATATTATATTACGATGTTTAAAGTTGGTATTGTCTTTAAATCTAAGTATTTATTTTTAGAGTTAACAATCTTGAACGTCTACTTTCATGTTACGATTCATCCGAGAAAATTTGCTTAGGCGAGAGATATGGCTACGAACTCCGAGATCCTGGAGGATATAATTATATAACAGGTGGAGGTGGCATGGTATTCAGCAGACCACTTTTAATAGAACTGGTGAAAAGATGCTCATGCCCGTCTTTAAATACGCCAGATGATATGTATTTGGGAATATGTATGGCTAGAATGAATGTTGCAGTCACACATTCTCCAGCGTTTCATCAGGTAAATCAATATTTTTAACTGTTTGTTCGTTGTGATACGTTCAATTAATACCTACTTCTCTATCTAGGAAACCTTTAACAAAAAATTATTGTAAAATATATAAAAAATTTACCAAAACGTAAAAACGAGACACTGACATTAATCAATTGACAGAAGTAATTTTTTTTGTGTGTTTTGGCTTGGACAATTGTTATTCAGCCAGTCTCAATCAAGATAAGTTTATTAATGTAGTGTGTGTGTGTGTGTGTGTGTGTGTGTGTGTGTGTGTGTGTGTGTGTGTGTGTGTGTGTGTGTGTGTGTGTGTATGTGTGTGTGTGTGTGTATCCCTCTTGATAATGGCTCCAAAACGGGAGCCGAAACGTCGAGCATTAAATTCTCAACGCGGTTCTTCCCGAGAACCTAGTGATTTTCATATATATATATATATATATATATATATATTATATATATATATATATATATATATATATATATATATATATATATCTAGGACATGCAATTAAAAACGAAAAGGAAAATCAAATCCTAGAAATTAAAAGAAGGACACAATTATCATGGGCTGCTTTTGGTAAGTTGAGCTTCATTTTAAAAGACAGAAAAATCCCAAACTTGTATACTACCAGTTGCAACTTATGGATTGGAAACTATATTAAGACTCAACGGGCCATGGAGAGGGCCATGTTAAATATAAGCCTCAGAGACAAAATTGCTAACACCGAAATACGTCGAAGAACTAAAGTAACCGACATCATGGGAAAAATTGCGGCATTGAGATGGCAATAGGTAGCACATGTAGCAAGACAAGACACCAACAGATGGTCTCATAAAGTGACATTCTGGAGACCTCGAGAAACAAAAAGAAGCGTGGGAATGACCTAAAAAGAGATGGATAGACGATATAACTGCTGTAGCTGGAAAGCAGTGGATGAGAATTGCAAAAGATTGCAGGGTAGCGTGGAAGCAATTGGAGGAGGCCTATGTCCAACATTGGATAAATGAAGGCTGAAGCTATATATATATATATATATATATATATATATATATATATATATAATATATATATATATATATATATATATATATATATATATATATATATATATATATATATATATATATATATAAGGAAAAGAAGTCTTTGCTGACAACGTTAGAAAACGGAGCTTTGAGGTTTATTGGGATTTATTCAGCGGTAAAATAAGTGTACTCTTTTAACTAAGTTTCAAGCTTTCGAAAATGTTTATTTTCATCATCAGGAAAAAACAGTTTTTCCTGATGATGAAAATAAACATTTTCGAAAGCTTGAAACTTAGTTAAAAGAGTACACTTATTTCACCGCTGAATATATATATTATATATATATATATATATATATATATATATATATATATATATATATATATATATATATTATTTGTGGTCTCAGCAATTGGTCTGTATGAAATAAAACTCTATTTGTTATTTCTCAATATTTATACTCTACAAATAGAGTTTTATTTCATACAGACCAATTGCTGAGACTACAAATAATATTTAACACAGTACGGTCGAGAATAATTTGATATATATATATATATATATATATATATATATATATATATATATTATATATATATATATATATATTATAGACAATGTACATTTAGAACAACCTATCTTAAAATTAAAATTCTTACAATAATTAAATTATATTAACAAAATTTGGTACCTTTCTGTCACTGAATGCCTAAATGAAACTGTTTTCCAAAATAAAGGGTTTAATCACCACTCAATATCTTCGTTATCAGTCTCGGTTATCCTTGTTTTTGTGAAATTGCTTTTTCCAAATACACCACAATGTTTTAATTATCAGCTTCCACCAGTTTAAAATATTTTTCTTCTTAATAGCATTTATAAATGGGCAAAATATTCTTCTTTCTTGTTTATTCTTCTTTTTAATAATCTTCTTTCTTATAATCTTATTTTTTCTTCTTCCAATCTCCAATCACCATATAAATATTATAATTTTAATTTCTTCTAATCTCCATATACATAATATAATTTTTAATTTCCAATTAATACTCTCTTAATACAATTTTTTTTCAATCTCCATGTAATACACATTTAATACTATAAAACTTTGAATCACTGATTATTGCATACTGTACTGCATAATTAATACTCTAATACTGACCACTGTATACTATCTACTAATGAACTGCTTGTACTATTTTCTGACCGACTGACTAACTAACTTATTAATGAATTAACTCCATACTGTCTAATTAATGACCTACTGTCCTCTATCCTCCAAATTCCAGAGTATTTATATCATTTCAATGTTCCAGAATCATCTTGAAAGAAAATCATATTCGAATCTTTCTATTTCCTAGATATATGAATGTTCTCGAATATTCTACTACGCAAATAAGGTTAACTTCCTTATATTGACGTCTTATTTGAATGTTCCAGATAATTCTTAACTTTTCTATGGAGAATTTTATGGACATTTAGGCTTTCAGATCAGAATGTAAACTTATATGTAAATTAAACATCTTAAATTAATAAATAACACTATTTTAAATCCGTAATTATCATTTTAAATGTCTACTTTCTGTTCAAATTCACTCTTATTTACAAATGTCATAATACAGTGTATATTTGGTTGCCTATGCACATGGTGCACCCAAATACATCTATAATATGATAATTATTAAAAAAAACTTTTTAAACTTATTATTATGCTAATTTCTTAAGAATACCCTCATATAAATACTTTTTATAATATTCTCTAGTATATAACTTATAAATTATTTCTTTAATCACTATTTAAGTTCAATTTAGATTACCTTCGTTTCTTCTATATTTAATATTATCTATATATATATATATATATATATATATATATATATATATATATATATATTATTGCGATATTCAAAGTCTTAGTGCGCAAAGCAATTAATTAGCTAATTAATTAATTAAAATTATTTAAATGATATGATTATGATTCTATCACACTTTTTAATTCTCTTATCTCAGGGTTATATTCGTGCTTCAATATCTATGCTTTACATGTGAAAGGTAAGGTCCAAAGAATACCGGAATAATAAAAAACATATATGATATAACATTATATATTGAAATAAAAATAATGAAATAAAATTCACACTCAAATGTTTTCAATAAACAATATCTCATATAATGATTCTCAAAATTTTGTTCTACGTACGTGAACCTTCAAAATTAATGGTACAAACAATATTAGTTAAAATCTCAAAATCCCAATTATTATTCTAAATCTCCTAATCAAAATATTTATATCTTTTCTAAAGTAATTGTAAAAATTGTGTTATCAATAAAAGAAAAACTGCAGAAAAACAAAACTATCTCTCTCTGATGATGAGTGGTCCAAATCCTTGTTCCTTGTAGCCTATACTATCTATTCTTAGCAGCTCCCTAGGTAATCAGCAATCTTACAACAAATTGTTGCAAGTTTATCGTCCTTAATGATCTCCTTCAAATGCACGAATCGTTCAAATTATGCTAGCCTCTTCTCCTCTCGATAAACTGAATCTCTCGTTGGCCTGAGTGAAAAATGACTCTTGGAATATCTTCTCTTTACGATAAACTGAATCTCTCGTTGGCCTGAACAGTGACTCTTGGAATATAAGTAGAAAAATATGACTTACAATCTTTTACTGGATCAGCTTCTGTCAGATACACTAACTACACGAAAACTCACAAACTTTCACTGCTACTGCTTCCTACCTCTGGGAAACTACCCGAGAACAACGGCCGTTCGCCTTGCACCCTTGGAAACCAACTGACTATCTTTTTTTCTTCAAAAACTAACTAAAGTCTCATTCTCAAACCAACCATCCCACCTTTTTCAATCTCATCCAATCAAAACGCGTCATACATCTCCATTTCTTCATTCGATAACACAAATTTTTACCTACAATTATAAAATTTCCGAACATTATTTACAAACTAATCTTTTTCTACCAATTCTTATGAACTAACAAAAACATGATCTTTCTAAAATCTATTCTATTGTCCTAATTACTGCACAAATTTATTTGGAAAAACCGCTTCATTGTCTAGGATTTCACTTAAGCTTCTCACGTCACTCAAATATATTTTAACAAAGAAAATAATTTATGCATATCTTACGTTTTGTTCAATATAGGTAATCCAAAGATAAAGGACTTTCATTCTTCGAAATGTTTGTAGTTTATTATTCGACTTATCTGAATTATTTTAATTTTTTGAACTTTGAAATATTTTAAGCAAACCAATATTTTTCTCGATTTTACATATCATAACAAATCCCCGCCATTTGATCTGCCGAAAACTCTTTGTTAAATTTTAAAAATGACAAAAGTTTTCCAGGATCAAATTATTTCACTATGTTATTAAAATCTACTCATGATACTGATAGATGTCGTGAATGTTAAAATACCCCGTATATTGCCTGTCTTTATACGGGATTGGATATGTTTTCGATTTAAATTTTTCCAAGTATTTAACCTTAAAAGAATGTTCATAATTTTTAGCCACTCGGCTTTCTTCATTAATAAGATCTCCATAATTTTCTAAAATCTTCTCTATTTTCTTTCCCCTGTTTTCTCCACAATTTATTTTTCTTTCATCCTCATTTTGTTCACATGTGTTCACTGTCCATAATATTTCTTCACAAAATTCTGGATTCTCGTCCATCATTGCCATTTCTTCTTCTGTTTTCTTTCTATCCTCTAATTCCCTTTGGTATTCCGAGCACCATGTTTCTATTCCTTTCATTTCTCTGATGATAACTTCCTTTTCTTCCTGCTTCCTTTCTGTTTTATCGTCGGTTGCCAACAATTCTTCTGTACCTTCTATTTCCTGTTTTTCTCTTGTCTCCATCTTGTTTTCCTGCTTTCTTTTCGAACTCTTCTTCTTTTTCTTCCTTCTCCTTTTCTCTTCTGTTTGATTTTTTTCTTGTACTTTCGGTTTATCCTCTACAGTCATATTGATTTCTTTACGTTTTTCCTGTGCATTGATCCTTCCAGAATTTGTTTTCCTATCTGTTTCCTTTTCTTCTTCTGTGTTGTCTGGTTCTGCTCTGATTTCCAGTTTATTTTCCGAAAAATTTATGGTGATATGTTTTTCCCTCAATTCATCAATTCCCGCTATCATATCATGATTTAAATCTTCAATCACCACACATTTCATAATATGGAATTTGTCTCCCACTCTGATCCGTACTCCCAAACCTTCGTTTACTGTCGTCAAATTTTTATTGTTTGCACCCACTAAATCAACCCTAGGAATCTTATACACAAATCTGTCCAAATTTAATTCTTTTACTAGTTTTTTATTGATTAGCGATATCTCCGATCCAGAATCAATCACAATTTTAATCGCTTTATGTTTTATAAATGCATCTAAAAATATTAGATTAGAATTAGAAATTTGTCTTTCGTTTCCTATTGCTACATGATTCATCTCCCTTCTATTTTGTTGTTGGAAGCTCTGGTTATTTCTATCGTCCCTTTGTTCGTTCGTATTCCTATTCGGAGGATTTTGTGCAGCTCTATTCCTGTTGTGATTTTCATATGTTCTATTTTGTGTGTCATTCCTGTTATCGTAATTTTGTTGTCTATTGTAATTATTGTAATTTCTCGGCCTATATTCGTTTGTTGATCTGGGATGTCGGTTTCTCTGGTCATAATTTGATGGATACCTTCTTTCCGGTCCATTATATTGGTCATGTTGTCTTCTATTTCTCATTTCTCTTCTTTTCGCTTCTTTTAATTGAAGGAATTGGCACAAACTATCAATATCTTGATAGTTTCTCAAAATCACGTGATCTTCCAAAGTTTCCTCAAAATGTCTGCTGATCATTTCTACCAGCTGTTCGGTAGAATATTTGTATTCCAGATATTTTGAATTGTTATATATCTGCAAAGCATATCTTTCTTCAGATATTCCCATTTTTTCGTGATATTTTCCATTCTGTAGCTCTTGATTGATTTCTCTCTGTTTATTTTTCCCCAGAAATAGTTGAGAAATTTATTTTCAAAATCTGTCCAATTTTCAAACTCATCTTCCTTGCTTTCATACCATAACGCTGCTCCTTCTTTCAGATGGTTTCTAATTGTTTCTTTGCAATCGTCAAAATATCTAACATGTTGCAATTTGGTTTTCAAATTTTTAACAAACGGTACTGGGTGTGTTTTTCGAATATCCCCGCCAAATTGTATTTTCGCCTCGCTTGTTCCATGGATGATAACTTCTTTTCTCTCTATCCTCTTAGTTCAATTTCTGCCATTTGCTTTTCATTTTGCTTAATTTCCTTTCCATTTCTTTCCTGTCTTCTTGTAACGCCATTTCAAATTTTTCTTCTAACTGTTCTAATTCCTTTTTCTGGACATCTTATCTTGATTTCATTTAATTTTCTTGTTTTCATATTTAATCTTCATTTCCTTTATCTGTTGTATCATTCTTTTTCTCAACACATCTGTTCTATATTCCTGTTATTTTCTTCTATTGTTTTCTTTGTTTCGTCCATTTTTTTGATGTTTCTTTTTGGTTTTTCTCTATTGTCTCTTCCATTTTCTCTGCTGTTTCATTCATTGTTTGTTTTGTTTCATCCATTTTTAGTGACTGGATTTGCATATTGTAATATTTTATCTATTCCTGATGATTCTTTTCTCTCCTCAACTATTGTAACATTTCCTTCATTATCCGATCCTTCTTCAACAATTGTTTCCTCTTCTCTGTTATCCTCCTTCCTTTCTTGCATTTTGCTTTGACTCCTTGTGGTCGACATGTTGTTTCTTTTCGTTAATGTTTTTGTCCCGCCAAATGTGAAATTTTACACCACTCTATACGTTGCAGGACACGACAATATTTCTCTCCAATTGTAATAAATTTTCACGACAAATATCAAATATGCAATCAGTAAAATTCAAATAATTCAAAATAAATATCAAATGTACGATTGGTAAAGAAAATAAAATCAAATAATTCAATAGCAGTAAATATCAACTAACTACGATCAATCAATAAATCAAATTTTTATCCACTGGAAAAAATTGTCAAAATACTTTCAAATTCAAATTCCCTCAATGTTATATGTTTTTATCTCTGGATCACCTGTACTTATTCCAGATCTCTTTCCCTTCCTTCAAATGTAAAGCTGCGATATTTTCAAGCCCCACGTTTTGGAAGCCAGTTATTGTGATATTCAAAGTCTTAGTGCGCCAAGCAATTAATTAGCTAATTAATTAATTAATTAAAATTATTTAAATGATATGATTATGATTCTATCACACTTTTTAATTCTCTTATCTCAGGGTTATATTCGTGCTTCAATATCTATGCTTTACATGTGAAAGGTAAGGTCCAAAGAATACCGGAATAATAAAAAACATATATGATATAACATTATATATTGAAATAAAAATAATGAAATAAAATTCACACTCAAATGTTTTCAATAAACAATATCTCATATAATGATTCTCAAAATTTTGTTCTACGTACGTGAACCTTCAAAATTAATGGTACAAACAATATTAGTTAAAATCTCAAAATCCCAATTATTATTCTAAATCTCCTAATCAAAATATTTATATCTTTTCTAAAGTAATTGTAAAAATTGTGTTATCAATAAAAGAAAAACTGCAGAAAAACAAAACTATCTCTCTCTGATGATGAGTGGTCCAAATCCTTGTTCCTTGTAGCCTATACTATCTATTCTTAGCAGCTCCCTAGGTAATCAGCAATCTTACAACAAATTGTTGCAAGTTTATCGTCCTTAATGATCTCCTTCAAATGCACGAATCGTTCAAAATAATTTATGCAAACATTCTTCGAAATGTTTGTATTTTATTATTCGACTTATATATATATATATATATATATATATAATATATATAATATATATATATATATATATATATATATATATATATATATATATTATACTGAATTATTTTAATTTTTTGAACTTTGAAATATTTTAAGCAAACCAATATTTTTCTCGATTTTACATATCATATATATATATATATATATATATATATATATATATATATATATATATAAACTATTACATTTTTGGTTAAATTATTATCGTTAATATTTTAAAATTTTCTAGGCGAGGCCACAAGACTATAGTCCTAGGTTTTTAGAAACATATCGACCAGTTTCTTTTCACAAGCATTACATGATTGATCCAGTGAATGTATATAAACAATGGTTTGAATCCTCGGATATAACGAATATAAACAAATTAAATGAAACAAAAATTAAAGTACACAACGAACTGTAACTAAATAAAAATTTAATATTGTATTATTAATAAAGTATTTTATATTGATTGTTTATTTTTAAATTCTAACATATTTACAAGACCATTAAGGTGGTAATCAAATATGAATGACTAAAAGTCGCGGCATATTATCATGCACGTATAGCTGTGCACGAAACATGAGCGTTTCATGTCGTGAAACGCTCTACTTTAAACACACAAACTAATACACAACCAAAATCCTTCAATTACACAATCACCCACATCCCTGTGGTGAAATCTACTCAAAGGAATTTCTTCAGAGTTATTAAGACCAGAGAGCTTCTGTTAAATCAGATCTCGACGGTCAAAGTACTCCCGACACAGATAGCCGACCTTACCACTCTCCACCCCATTAATCACGTCAAGCTCCAACGAAAACTCCGTGACGCATTGGGTGATCCTAAAGTCCAGATTACTCCTAAGCACATAACATCACCTAAAAATACTACCCGTCCAAACACTCCTACATTTATGGTGGTCGTAAAAGGCGTAGATAAAATCTACTCCGATGCCAACCTCACTCACAGATTTACAGAAATAGATATCCCCGTAGTCAAACTATGGCGGATAATTTCTCGTAATAACTTTCCTACCACATTTGTCAAACTGGTCACATCTAGTGAACTTAAGTACACAGAGATGCTGACCAGGGGCATTTTCATGAACGGGCTCCGTATGCACGTAGAGCTCCCATTAAACTCCAATCGTGTCCCTCCTGTGCCCAAGTACTGTGGCCGGTGCAGCCAGAACGGGCATACCATAGCGGAGTGCCCGCAAAAGCAGTACAGGTCCCTACTTGTGGTCAAGACCACAAATCCTCATCCTGTCCTACCCCTCAGACACCTAAATGTCCTAACTGTGGCGGTGATCATGCGGCCTACTCGGTCAAATGCCCACACAGGAGGGAAATCCCTAAAACACCTCAGGAAACACAACCAATAACCACTGGAAAACGAATCCCACCCTATGAACTATCTTTTGACATGAAGGCAGTCATGTAATTTACATCCCTTATCCTAATCAATCTTCTTCCTGATAGGCGCCAGCTTATCTTGGATGTCACTAACCACATCTCTACTCTGATATTTGGCCACAAGATTACTCTCGTGGCTCATAACAATAGAGCATCCATCTCCTTCCTGCCTTTGTAATGGTCAGTTCCTAGGTGCTGTAAACTGCCAGGGTGTTGCGAGAAAACACCCCTTCATCAAGCACATCCTACAACACCACAATATACAAATCCTTGCCCTTTCCAAAACCCTTTCCAAAAACGACCCTATTTTTCCCGGTTACTGCACACTACACCGCCCTCGCAGCCAGATATCTCGTGGTACTGGCTTAGTAATTAAATACGGCATTCCTTTCTCCCCTCACACCATCCCTCCTCATGTTATCCTTAATGATGAAAACTTCCTGGCAGTTGACATCCACCTCGATAATCATACATCACTCACACTAGTCTCTTATTATAAACATCCAGCCCAATCCTTATCCGAAGCATTGTTTGGTTGTCTCCAGCCTGAATAAGGCAATCATACTTGGAGACTTTAACGCCAGGCACACTCATTGGCGACACGGCTACGAACCGTGCAGGCATTGACTTTTTGGATCTGCTTATTAACCTCCCTATACACCGAAACGACTTTTGTGGGTCACCAGGGCATGTCGACCGTCGATCATATCGTGTGTAAATACGATGTGATTGACCTACTGGATGATGAGTGCTTTCTGGGTGACTTGATTACGTCAGATCACCTACTCCTGATGGTTAAAGAACAGATATTTAACCCTCTTCCTCCCAATCCTCCCAAAATAATAAGAGACTACAATCATGCCAATTGGGACCTCTTCAGAACCTTTTTATTAATCAACACTCCTGAGTTAGGCAATTTAACACAGCCTGATGATATTGATCAAGGTATCACGGTCATCACTGAATTGATAAATCAAACAATTGATTTATCAGTCCCCAATAGGGTTGTGAACCCTAATAAACCATCTCTACCTCAATATATCATTAATTATATCAAACATAAGAGACGACTCCTCCGTCAGTTTCAACGTACCTGTAACTCTCTTGTCAAAACAGAATATAACCGCCTCTCTGCGGTAATCAAATTACCGGGGAACAATCTGCAGTCAGACAATGGATTGCGGCCACCTTAGTCTTGATTATCGTGATGGAAGTAATTGCTGGCACAAATTCAAATGTCTAACCAAACAGAAAACAAATAATCCTTCTCATCTTGTGGTGAATAATCAAATTATAAATTCAAATCAACAGAAGGCTGACGCCTTCAAAACCCATTTACAAAACATCCTAAACTCCTCTAATAATCCTAGATTTGACCTCGCCTTTCGTACAAGGATCTAAAGAGACATCACACGACAGCTCGGTACCCCCTTAGATCCGCAGGCACCCCATGATCATCCCATCATGGCGACTGTAGATCAACAAACTTTCAAAAATGTTTGCCAAATCGACAACATTGCCAGGAACAGCATGAAACAATTACCACCGAGTGTCACCCCCTACTTGATGAACATAATCAATGCCACCCTCAAACTCTGCTACTTCCCATCTCCATGGAAAGTAGCCAATACAATTATGCTCTTAAAAAAGGGCAAACCCGTACCGAACCACACTCTTATAGGCTGATTTCACTCACTAACGTTCTGACTAAGGTCTTCGAGAGAATCCTTAAAGAAAGACTCGTTTACTTTACCACCGAACACAATACCATCCCATCATTTCAATTCGGCTTTAAAAAAGGGTTATTTACCAATACGGCATTGACAGAAATCGTCACACATCTCACACAAAGTTTGAACGCCGGAAAAGTCCCATTAGGCATATTTCTCGATGTTCAAAAAGCCTTTGACCAAGTTTGGCATATGGGACTGGTCAAGAAACTGCTGAACATCGACCTGTTCCTCTCATTCGTCAGACTTATTCATTCATATGTCACATACCACAAGGTTCTGTATTGGCTCCCATTTTATATATCATATACAACAGTGACTTCCCTAACCCCCGATATACCAACTCAACCACTTTGCTCTACGCAGATGACACTGCTCTAGTAACAACAGCACGAGACGTTGATTCGGTTCTTGGGTTTGCTCAAAATCACCTTAACCTGGTCGACAGATGGTGCAGGAGATGGCGAGTAACGCCCAACCCGAACAAAACACAAATGATTCTCTTTAGACATCCAAAACATAGCCAGTTTGTCACACCCATAATTTCCGCAAGGCACAATCTTAGACTTTGGGGAGACCGACTACAGCTCCGTGACCGGATCGAATACCTCGGTGTAGTGTTTTCTCAAACACCTAACTGGACGGACGATCTGGACAGAGCCTGTAACAAGGCCAGAAGCAGACTCGGACTACTCAATGCTCTTTGTGGTAAATTCGGAAGACACACTAGACACTCACACTAATCCATACCTACAAAACATTCATTAGGCCGGTCATCGAGTATAGATCTAATATGTATATTACGATGCACGACCGCAACACACAGAGACTGCTTGCTTTGGAAAGAAGGATTTTGCGTAGAGTAAACAATATGCGTCGCGATTACCCTTCTCCACTCATACATCACCTGTCGAATATTCAGCCCTGCTTATCCCTCGGCAATGTATTCAGAAGACACCCTAACCCAAATTCCCTTTCCTTCCCTCTATTTTACTGGACCTTGCCAGCAACGAACTCCCTGATGAATACATTGACATACAGGAGGCAACTAAACTCATCTACCGCCGTCGTCACTAAACTTAAATGCTCACTTCTAGCTTGTCTAGACGGGGGGATCGGTTTTCTGTGGTTTCCCGATCCCATTGCAAATGATACCTGTCTATTTTAGAGGATACAGCCACAGCTGCCCTCTCGCGTCGCGATTCATACAGTTATTAATATCAAAACTAAACTCATATTTCATATTCTCTATATATACTAATTATTTTTTTTGACAAATAAATTCTGAAAAGGACCGTTTTACACATTGCCTTTCACCTCTGATTGTCCGGGCACTCCTCCGTCGACCACCAGTGGGCCCACACAACAAAGACAGCGAAACACACACCAAAATAAAACAAACCACGTCCTGAAGAGGCAGAAGGCCTAAAACAGGACATCAAAACACCAGGTACAAGAAGACATCCAAAAAAGAAATATGACATGAACAATGGTACCTATATTGGCACCGGTACAATTTCGGCTACTTTCCCCTATAGCCTTCGAAAATAAAATTCTTAGATCCATCCACGCCTGTATCAAAACCAGCAGGGCAACTGGAGAATTTACACTAACCAGGAAGTACGAACACTTACTTTGCTAACAAGTATTGTAAGATCACGTAGAATAGCCTGGATATCTCATGTACAAAGAAGTAATGATGACAGCGATACGAAAACCATCTTTACGGTAAAACTTACAGGAATGCACCCCCCACGCCATCCCCGACAGAGATTGAGTAACAATATGAAGAGAGACTTGAAAGAGAAAAATAATAATACACCTCTCGAAACTGCAACACAGGACAGAAAGAAATGGCGAGGCTTTGTGAAGGAGGTCAAAACTATCTTTAAATTAGTATTTTTAGGAAAACTACACCACACTATACACATACATTATTTTCACAAAAAAACTTAATCGCTGTTAGATATTTTACCGTACCTTACCGTATTTGAATTTCTGAATTAATAATGAACTTCTATCAATACATAAAAAACTAAGTAACGAACATGTCAGTTTGTCTTTCTTAAAGGTTAGTAGGATTGAAGGGTTTTTAAAAATGTATTAGTAGTTTACATTTTTGTTGTGATTTTTTAGTTCATTTTGAAATGAGTTTCTAGATTTTAGAAAGCATGTATAGCTTATTTGCATTGTGTCTACTATTTCATGTTGTTTCAACTAAATACAGGTATTTTTAAACAAGTAGATTTGTAGTTATATCGGAAAAAGAAAAAAGAAGTAAATTATTTAAACAATATAAACAAAGTCGGGAAAATTAATAAACTCCCGATTCAATTTCCAAAATTGACTTTTTAACTTCAATTTAATTATATATAAAAAATTAAATATTAAATGTTTGTTTTTGATATTTCTGTAATTGCTGGACTATAGAAAACTTTGTTATTATAGATAGCTTGTAAATAATCAAACAAAATAAATTATGTAAAAGTTTTTTAAAGCTTTTTAAAGCATATAATGATTGACTGGAAGATTAAAATTCACCCTAGCCAACCAGGGGGTATTCTAAGGGAACTCGATGTATCCACTGTGATTCTGTCTAGCGATGAATCCTGTATCCCAGCTAGTCAACTACACTAATTTAGATTTTACTGTAGAGGCGAAGCTTAATCATCTATTGTATATGGATAATTTAAAATGAAGGATAACACAGTAACACTAACCAAGATAAATAAAACAGAACAAAAAAATATGATAATGTAAGTGTTATTTTAAAGAGATAAATTAGGCATAGCACACAAGGCACAACTGTTTTAAAACAAAGGTTTGAAACCGATTTTGCTCGCAACTCTTTTATGACCTTGACGTGTAAGGATTGGAAATTCTCCCACGGGCACTGACTGAACTTTTTTCAATCTGTCTAAAACCGGTTTTGTTCTATCCTCGTGCCGTGCTCACAGTTGCGTTGCAGTTTGTTGTAGCACGTTATAAATCTGTTTTTGTAGCTTATGCACGAAGTTCACTGTGTATTTATGTCCAATAATTTGTTAATTGTATCTTAATTAAAATAAGTGACCAAGAACCGTATGAGATAGTTGTTTTGCTGCTACGAATAGGCGAAAATTTACATTCTTTTCAAAGTAACTATGGACCCAATAGTCCTTATGAACTCGGCGAACCCTGCATTATTCATACTAATCAATCTTGTCCTCTGTTGGTGGAGAGAGGTTTCATTTAGGTTCTAAATTGGTTTTAAACCTATTGTAGATGAAACTAGTTTTCACCTATTTTTTCCAAACAGGACTTAGACATATAAATAGTTTTCAATGGATTTTCAACGAATAACCTGAGGTATGTGGAGAATGCTGCAATTAATTCTTCAAGGAAAAGTAGATGGAAAACGTGGACCAGGAAGGCGAAGGATTTTCTGGCTGAAAAATCTACGTACGTGGTTAAACATAACAACCACAAATCTTTTCAGAGTCGCAGTTTGCAAAATACAGATTGCCACGATGGTTTATAACATCCGAAACGAATAGGCACTACAAGGATGAAGTGTGGATGATGAAATATTGACCAACAATTTGGAAGATTTATGGACATTAAGGTTTTATGGGAATCAAAAGTGCCGACAATTTTGTCTAAAATAAATTTTAAATAGGCAAAATGGATATTAAATAGCAAGGTTGATGACGAGAATTATCTCCATATTGAAATTCTGGGTAGTGATAGAAGTTGAAGAACCGTCTGAGATAGTTATTTTGCTGCTACGAATAGGCGAAAATTTGCATTCTTTTTGAAGTAAGTATGGACCCAATAGTCCCCATGAACTTTACAAACCCTGCGTTACTCATAATAATTAATCATATCCTCCATGGGTGGAGACAGATTTCATTTAGATTCCAAACTGGTTTTAAACCTATTACAGATGAAACTAGTTTTCAACTATTTTTTAAAACAGGCCTTACATATGAATAGTTGATGATGATAGTGGATGATAAAATATTGATTCACAGTTTGGAAGATTTATGGACATGAAGGTATTATGGCAATCAAAAGTGCCGAATTTCGTAAAAATAAATTTTATATAGGCAAAATGGATATTAGTTAGCAAGTTGGATCACGAGAATCATCCCCATGGTGGAACTCTGGGTAATGGTATTATGTAATGAACGTTCTTATTTCTTCTAGTGCCGTCTACCTACGGAGGTTGTTGGCAATCATAATGACCATTTTTATTTTTTGTTAAGATGCGATCGAGCGAGTTGTAACCTATTGCTAGTCAAGACTAGGAATTTTTGAAATTTTGCCTGTCAGTGCATAGAGCAGAGAGAGAAGGTAGTCGGAGAGAAAGAGATGGATGAACGCTGGACGTCGTGATTTTTAAATGTAGTTTTAAATTTTGTTTTAGCAGTATGGTACGTCATTTCTGCGTTAGTGTGGAATTTATTTAAATGAAATTCCTAAAAAGTAAAGAATTATATTTCTAAACTTTGCCTATTATTGTCCTTGTTTCTCCAAGTTTTTCCAAATAAACCTATAATTTAAACGGCTCCTTTTTCTCAAATTATAATTTTTTTAGCATTTCAAGCGATATTAAAGAAATGGTTGATGATGACACGTTTGGATTATTATTACAAGAAATAATGATTAAAACTTTACAACCATATAAGTGTGTGATGATTTTTACAGACGATATGTATTCAGATTTGTTTGATATGCCATGGTTTAAGAGATTTGGCAATGTTATATCCTTTATAATAGTAAGTAGTCTAATTATATGCATAATAAGGTTGTTAATCATCTAAGATTTAAGAAATGCAAACAAAAATAAATATTTATAATAGAAAATGGATTTGCTGTCTTTCCAAAATGCTTCTTTTAAAGGTGCCAATCTTCTAGCGATGTTGGTGACCACATTGGCCCATCTTATTCTATTCACAGAAACTCGAAATAGATCAGTTAACGTTAGGCCAGTCCATTTCCTAATATTAGCCACCCAGGATATACGTCGGCAGATGATGTTGTATTAATCGCAGATAATTTACAAGATACAGTTTCTATGATGCATTCGCTTAAAAGTCTGTCTAAAAGAGCAGGATTAAAGATAAACTTTGAGAAAACTAAACTTATAACAAATCTCGTAATGAGTGGAAATATAACTATTGACAATAATAACATACAACAAACAGACACTTACAAATATCTGGGACACGAAATCAAAATAAGCAGAGACAATCAAACACATGAAATACAGAGGCGAATAGGCCTAACTTGGGCAGCATTTGGCAAATTAAGCCATATTCTAAAAAGTTTAATTCCCATGTGTCTCAAGCGATAGTGTTTTATGACGAATGTGTTTTACCTGTACAAACTTATGGAGCGGAGACTTTAACACTCACGCAAAAATCTGCGAATAAACTCAGAGTTACACAACGAGCCATGGAACGTGCAATGCTGAACGTGAGCCTTCGAGACCACATAACAAACCAACAAATCAGGCAAAGATCAGGAGTTCAAGACGTCATCGAAAGAACCACGTCGCTTAAGTAGAACTGGGCAGGGCACTTAGCCAGAGCACAAGATGGACGGTGGACAAGACGTATTATGGAATGGAGGCCCAGAAACTATAAAAGAAGCCGAGGACGACCACCGACTAGATGGACCGATGATATAAAACGTGTAGCGGGAAACTGGCTACAAGCGGCTCAGTGTAGAGAACACTGGAAAGAACTGAGAGAGGCCTATGTCCAGCAGTGGACGCGATTGGCTGATTGATGAGGATATACGTCTGCGTCCAGGCCTCTCTTGTCCTCAATCTTGCCTTGTAGATTTGTAGAATCAACTGTATAAGTCGGTATTTATTATTACGCATAATGTGCCCGTAGTAATCCAATACAATAATACATAATTAACATAGGGCCGGTTCTACAATCAAACTATAAATTAGAGAATAGTTATTCTGAGTATAACTTACCCTTGAGTTTATTCCAAGTATTATAGCCTTTCGAGCGTTCTACATTGTGAAATCGACAGCGGAATAATTCTGGGTATAACCACAGAACACTAAGGTAAAACAAAATAGTAGATCTGATATCCTCAAAATTAGTTCAAATTGTTATTGACAGTGACATTTGGCAGTTGTCATAACTGTAAAATTAGTTTACAATTGAAAGTATATATTTATCTACTTTATCTTTATCTAGTATTTTATCTACGTTTATATTATTATACTTTGCAAAATTAATATAAAATGGATAAAAAAAAAGATGTAACAATTTTACATATACAGAAACTGAATTCAAATGCTACATAAATATATATCTATTTCATACCGAATTCTTAAAGTTTTGGATGCTTTAGCCTAGGTATTCCTTCTTCAAAATCTTCATCATCAGACTCAAAAATATTAATATTAACTGGATCCATATCAAAAATTTTATTTTATATATAAAAACAAACAAAACCACAGTTCAAAGATCGAATGGCATAAAGTGAGGTTAAAATATCACAGATTTGACAACCCCTCGCCGACCAATAGAAATGTAGTATAAATTTATACTTGGATTATCTGCTCAACTTTGGAGGAATAAAGTTATTCTATCGATATAATCCGATTATCTGAAGCTCCTACAAGAAAAGGAAACCGAGAACAACGCCCTCAAAAAGAAGATAGAGGAGTTACAAGACATAATTGTAAACTCCCAAAAATCCATAATCGATCACATGGACAAAAAGTTCGACCAACTTGAGGGCAAAACTGAGGTAACCCTGGAAAAACAGGCACCGAAGAACAAAGAAGAAAACCTGGAAAACCAGGCCATAACCAAAAAGAAGGCTACAGGAGCAATTCCAAAAAACAAAAAACAACAAGAGGAAAAGCCCAAAGAGGCAACAAAAACAAAGAAAAAAGAAGATTTCCCCCCACTCACCCCCACCAAACCCCAAGAAGGTGCACAGGCTAGTGATGCGCAAGTCGATCGACACTCTCCAACACCGACACAGATGGACATAGAAGAGGTACCCAAGAAAACTTGGGTACCAAAGCCACCTGTAATTAAATTACAGAGTGTGAACTACACAGGGGCCATACTAAACATCGCCCAAAAAGCACAGGTCATAACAAACAACAAACTGTCCAGAAGCGGCCGAGAAACGCTTATACAAGCAAAAAGCCCTGAAGACTACAGGAAGATGGTTAAAATCATTGAAAAATTCAATGAGGAGACGAAAATCCAGTGGATAGCGTTTCCACTGGAGGAGGATATAAAACCAAGAATGGTTTTAAGAGGGCTACCATCTTCAACAGACCCAAAGGGTATTCACGACGAGATATTGGATGACCACAATATTGGAGTATTGTCGGTCAAGAATATGATTTCGAGGAAACCCGACAAAAGGAACCTGCCAATGTTCGTCATGACGGTGGAACGAGAGGACGTAGAAAAACTAAAGCGCATCACAAACCTGATGCACATGAAAGTCAGAATAGAGGAACTAAGAAAAGCAACAGGGCCCACACAATGCTTCAACTGCCAGGGCTACCACCACGCACAAAGGGCGTGCTTCAAAGCACCTCGATGTGTAAAGTGCGGCGAGGAGCATGAAACGAGGAGCTGCACGATGCCAAAAGAGCAGAAGGCAAAATGTGCCAACTGCAAAGGTCAACACCCGGCCAACTTCAGAGGCTGTCCCAGATGTCCAACCTGGGGCAGACAACAACAGAGACAAAGGCCAGAAACGCAAAGCAGGCCACAAACAGCTCCCACTGGGCTATCCTACGCCCAGGCAGCAAAACCCCAGGAGAATGAGAAAACCATCCTCATCTCGAAACAACATCAAGACGGCCTAGTGAACTCCGTAAAGGAACTACTCACTAGGGTAGTGAATGAAGCGATAAAAGACTTCAAGTTAGCACTGAACTAGTGCAAACTAATAGGGGATACTTGAGGATAGGCTCCTGGAATCCAGGGGGTATAAGGACCAACCAGAATATTCTGGACGAACTGGTCAATAGATACGAAATGGACGTCGTAGCCATTCAAGAAACAAAACTCACGAACAACGTTAATATCAAATTCCCAGGATACGACGTATATAGGAACGATAACACAGCGAGAGCAGGTGGCACAGCAATACTTGTGAAAAAAGGCATAAAACACACTAGATTATTAACACCGCAACTAGTAACTATGCAAGCCACAACAATAAGATTAGAAATGAGGCAAGGAGAAGTCAGAATTACCTCCGCCTACGTAAGACCGCAAGATCCGCTGATCGACGACGATCTAAATATGTTCCTAAACGACGAACCCTCTATCATCATAGGAGACCTAAACGCAAGATCCCCTAACTGGAATGATAGAGCTACGAACAGAAATGGAAGACTACTAAACGCGTACATAGAAAATAACGAAGAAGTCATGGCAATGGGCCCCACAGACCCAACGCATTACCCAGGTAACGCACTTCCAACGCATATAGACATAGTAGTTGCAAAAAACCTAGGACTACAAACAGAACTACAAACACTAAATGAAGGTACAACTGACCACAACCCCATCCTATTAGAACTAGGAACGTGGGAGGAAGAAAGTACAACCAAAAAGATCAAAAAGAAAACAAAGTGGACAAACTTCAAGAGACTCGTGAGCACCGGAATAAACATTGTCCCAGTGATAAACAATCCACGAGAAATAGAAGATAAGGTCCTAGAGTTGGAAAACATCATCCAACAAGCAATCAGGAATAGCACTACTGAACAGGAAGTAGTAATGCAAACGGGAAGATTCAAGGATATACCTCAAGTAATAAAAGACTTGATAAGGGAAAAAAACAGAGCTAAACAGACAGCAAGAAGAACAAGAAACCAAGCAGACAAAAACAGAGCAAATCGATTAAACAGAGAGGTCAAAACAGCACTACAACAACACCGTAGTGAAAGCTGGGAAAACCACATAAGGGACATGGAAGAACAAAGTCCAAATATGCAAAATATTTGGAAACTGCAAAAAATCCTACGAAGTGACAGAAAACCAATTCCCCCACTACACGGAGAAAATGGTATAGTATATAGCACAGAGGAAAAAGCAGAGGTAATGAGGAGTACTCTCGAGAGAGAGTGTACATTAAATTACCACCCAGACGAAGACATCGACTTCATAGAAGAAGTCGAAAGACAAAGAGAAAGACCGGAAAACCCAAACGAAATTATCCCTCCAACAACACCGGAGGAGATAAATGAGCTAATCAAGAACAGCTCACCAAAAAAGGCTCCCGGTCCAGACCAAATTACGAACAGAGCTCTAAAATATCTACCAGCAAAAGCCATTGTTTATCTAACAAACATCATTAACGCAATGCTAAGGTTCAAAAAATTCCCAAATAGATGGAAAGAGGCCCATGTCATAATGTTACCGAAGCCCGGAAAAGACAGCACATTCCCACAAAACTACAGGCCGATAAGCTTACTACCAGCAATCAGCAAAATAGTAGAAAGAGTGATACTCAGCAGACTCCAAGCTGAAACAGACAGACTAAACATCATACCAGAAGCCCAATTTGGCTTCAGATCAGAACACTCTAGCGAGCTACAAGTACTCAGACTAACAGAGTACATAGCAGCAGGATTTAACGACAGACAATATACAGGAGCTGCATTCCTGGACGTAAGTAAAGCTTTCGACAGAGTCTGGCATAAGGGACTACTATACAAAATGAGAGACTACGGGTACAGCGGAGCAATGACAAGGCTGATCTCTTCTTACTTGAGCAACCGCAGTTTCAGAGTCCGGATAGGACAAGTCCTATCCGAACTCGGGAACCCGGAAGCTGGAGTACCACAGGGAGCGGTACTGTCACCTCTGCTGTACACGATATACACAGCAGATATACCTAGAACACCAGGTACATTATTAAGTCTCTATGCTGACGACACAGCGATAGCGGCCAAACACCGAAATGTAGACATAGCAGTCACCAATCTACAGACAGCGTTAGACGACATTGAAGAATGGAGTCTAAAGTGGAAAATTAAAATCAATTCAGACAAGACACAAGCTGTACTCTTCCAAAAGAGGCGAGAACAACCAGAAGAACAGGTCACAGTGCAAGAAAATCCCATTGAGTGGAAAAGCGAAGCGAAATACCTCGGAGTAATAATGGACAAAGGACTAACCTTCAATAAACACGTAGAAGCCACAGTACAAAAAGCCAACATGGCAAGGGCCGCAATAAGAGGCCTAGCGGGAAGGAAAAGCAAATTACGCATAAAAACCAAAATAAGGCTAATAAACAGTATAGTCCTTCCTATACTGACATACGCATCACTTGCATGGGGACATATATGCAACACAACGAAAAAGAAAATACAGGCACAACACAACAAAAGCCTAAGAGAAGCGGTAAACGTACCAAGATACGTAGCTGAAAGATTCCTGTTCAGAGAGTTACAGCAAATCAGAGTGACTGATACAATGAAAGAAAAAGCTAGGATAAAATTCGCAGAACTAGAGAACCACCCTAGTCACATCCTACGAGAGATAATGAGGTATGACGCTTTCCACAGATGGAAGCACAAAAGACCAAAACAACAAATATTAGACTAACGCAAAACCAGAGGGAAAAATAAAAAACCCCCCAATAGGGACAAAATATTACAAAAAGCCCAGAGTGAGAAGAAAATCTAATCAAAACACACACACATAAAGAAGACAGTTCGTAGCTCAAATCACCCAGAATATCGCAAATCGCCTCATTCACAGTGGGCCCTGTTGCTCACACTAGGATGCAGTCTACATTGTGGTAATGTATAATATTTAAATATTTTCTTTATTATAGTGTAGACTATGTACTAATTATGACTTTTCTTTTCACAGGCAACCTACAAAAAAAATCATAAAAAACACAAAAAACGGCCTCGGCCACCAAAAAAATTAAAAAACACTAACAAAAACCGGCTTCGGCCACCAAAAAAACTAACAAAAACCCCAAAACCCGGGCACGTAGGGCCCAACCCCCTTGAGCACCAAGTCGCCGAGCTGAGCCGGGACTCAGAGCGGAGACTTGAGGCCCAAGTAAGCAATTTTAGTTCGCGGATAAGCTACATTAAGATAAACAGGAATAAAGCGGAGATGCGCTGTCCTGAGTTTTCACATACGGTTAGGAAACCATGTTGGGGTTCAATTACCCAGGACCTCCACATGAAGAGCACTTGGCTGATTGTTGTGCCTCTATAGCGAATCAGATTGCTATAGGGGGGAAAGGGATGGTCTAGAGCATTGGAGCACGGTGGGGTGATTCCTGTTTTTAAACACGAATTAAAACACCTTGCTCCAATGAATTGTTACACCCGATCGTACTACCTGGGTGAACATGTCTCATAGGCTGGGTTCAATCAAATTGCTTGCTTGCTTGATCCGATTATCTTATTCTTAGTTTATTCTTTGTTTATAGAACACCATGAAGTTATTCCAAGATGTTCCAAGTATAACTTTATTCTCAGTATATACTAGTATTGTAGAACCGGCCCTTAATGGTATAGACGGTTTCTTCTTCTATTTTATTTATGATAACCATTGATATAGAATAGGAAAGCAACCGGTCCAGATGAAATTCCAAGCGAAATAATAAAACTGCACGACGATAAGGGCAAATATTCACTTATAAGCCTCTTTAATAAAATATACGAAACAGAACATATACCAACAGACTGGCTACTGTCAACATTTTAATGATACCGAAAAAAATAAATGCCAAACAGTGTAGCGATCATCGCACTATCAGTCTGATGAGTCATGTACTGAAAATTTTCCTAAGAATACTGCACTCGAGAATTTACAACAAAATAGAAGTACAACTAAGTGAAACACAATTTGGTTTCAAAACCAACCTTGGAACCAGAGAAGCACTCTTCAGTTTGCAGGTCATGGTTCAAAGATGTAGGGATATAGAACAATCAGTATATATGTGTTTATTCGACTTCGAAAAGGCCTTTGACCGAGTAAACCATGACAAACTTATAGGTGTCTTGCAACAGGTGGAATTGATGACCGAGACCTCCGTATTATCAAAAATTTGTATTGGCATCAATGTGCAAACATACGAGCTGGACACAACACGACGGAAGCAGTGGGAATACGACGTGGAGTGAGGCAAGGATGTTACAACCAACGAACGAAAAACGAAGTTACAACCAACGAACATCAGAGCGTATGGAATAAAGTTAGAAAGAGTCCACAATGTTACCTACTTGGGTGCAAACGTTAACGATAACTGGGATATAAATAAAGAAATAAGAATACGCATTGAAAAAGCCAGAACCGCAGTCTATAAATTAAAGAAAATTCTAATTAATAGAGTTATTACGTTAAACCTTAAAATCAGATTAGTACGCTGCTACATTATCTCCACATTGCTGTATGCTATGGAGAGGTGGACCCTTACAGAGACATTAATAAAAAAATTAAAGGCCTTTGAGATGTGGATTTATCGACGACTATTGCGGATAAGTTGAGCCGCCGATTTAGAGCCGCCGTAAATAAAGTTATTATTGCCAATATGATCGCCAACGTTCGATAATCGGACAGGGTACTGAAAGAAGAAGAAAACTAAAGTATTTATTGCCCTTTTGCGAGGTAAGAACACAATAAACATTACTGACCTAATTCTTGGTAGACATAAAACTTATTTTTTCTAATGAATTAGCCAAGAGGTTAGTAGTACTAGGAAAAACATTCATGACCAGTTGTGGTCGTAAAAATAATAACTTTTATATTGAGAAGAGGAGAATTGGCGGTAACATAATATCGAAGCGTGTTTATTTACTGAAAATAAAAGTATGGGTCAAATAGCAACCTGTTCAACCAGGCGTATCAACGGAAAGACGGACAAGAGAAAAAGCTCGTTATATTTGAGTTGAGATATACCAAAAATAAATAGAATACATTTTCGTGTTTTATTAATAATTGTAACAAAAATAATGAGGGATTATTAGGGATATGTTAGACTTTAATACCACTTCATTGATTCTATTTATCTAAGGGCGTGGACGAGGTTTGGTTTTATTTTCTTAGGTGACAAGAATGAAAATTAAGAAAACGGTTCAAAACCATAGATTTCCTGCCGCAATTGTCGCCAACTTAGTATCCAACCTACGTACAATATATCGTTTCTTTTGTTGTTTATAATTATACAAATAAGTGCATATCAGTTTAGGTGTCTCATAGCCTTTTTAACTAAATATCTCCTAATTTTTACATAGGCTTCATTTTTCCTATGAAATATAGACCTTCTTTGGTTTTTTGTATTTGTTATTTGTAATTTTACGCTGATGTTAAGACCAATCATTAGAGCTACATATTCTTTAAATTTATTACTTTGTATGCTCTGTGTGTATATATTTGCTTTTAGATAAAAGTAAACGAATATGATGACTTATACGCCCCTGAGCCTGAAGTCCAAGAAAGCTTGTTGATAGCTAAGCAGGGCGGATGTCAGTTATACATATTTTTAATTTCCAATGGACTACAAATGAGAAGACTCCTTAGATTTTGTGATAGGTAATATGTGCGAAATATAAATAACCATAAGTATTGTACGTAAACCAACTTAAAGATTTTAGAGAATACCCCTATCTATTGCAGCAAATACATTAAACATCTTGTACATCCAAATGTTGATTTAAAAGAAATACGGTTTTGAACAAAATGTGAGCTGTCCGAGCTTTTCTAAAACAACGTTAAAAATAATTTTATTATCTAAAATATTTAAATACCCAAGTCTCATTTTGTATAGTTTAAGAAATTAGAGTATAGTGACGAAATGTGTCGATCCATTATTATCTACACTTTTTCTTTACACCTCTTGTTCATTGTACCATGTATTGGCACTATCTTCTTTGATAGCAAAATTCATGACAGAGGTAGCAATAATTAAAATTTTTTTTGGTTATCCGCGAAACTGACGTCGAGTTTTTTATGACGTCACGGTCAACACGCGAATTATGAATGTTCTTGGGAAAAACTTGGGAATGTTCTAAATGTGTTGTAATTGCCATACGATAAATAAAAAAATTGGGAAAAACATTTTTTTAAAAACTGAACTCACGATTAAAACTTTTATTTTCGACTTACAAAGATGTTAGTAACAACACAATAAATTAAAATCAGACTGAAAAATATTGATTTTTACATGGTGTTTTATAATTTTATAATTGCTGATCTTGCTGTCCAATACGTCGCAATTCAGTCCAGAATGTACAAGCGGTAGCCCCGTGTTGAATCCACGTGGTAGAATTCACTGGATGGTAGCGGTCATTGACTGTAACTACTCCATCCCCTGAAGAAGTTTTGTGAGGGACGAAAAGAACTATTGAGTTGGCCTCTTCTGGGGTTTCATCGCTAGAGTTGGGTTCCTTTAGGGAAAATCGATATTGCAAGGGACGATGATCTGAAAGTATTTTAAATTTTCTTTCAAATAAGTAGGGTCGGAAATACTTAGTTGTCCACACCATTGCTAACATTTCCTTTTCTATTGTGGAGTACTTGGGTTCGGTTTCATTTAGTGTCCTGGAAGCAAAGGCAACTGGTTTTTTACTGCCAACTGGTCCTTGGGAAAGTACTGCTCCGATAGCGAAGTTGCTGGCATCTGTTGTGAGGTTAAATGGTTTGGAAAAATCTGGATATTGCAATAACGGCTCATTCATTAATACTTTTCTGTACGTTTCAAAGCATTCTACTAATTCGGTGTTCGATGTTTGATCTTTGCATCTTTTTTCAAGCATCTTGTTAGAGGTTTTGTGATTTTTGCGAAGTCTGGAATAAACTTCCTGTAATATACCAAGAGTCCAAGAAATCCTCTTATTTCTTTTGCTGTTTTCGGTATTGGATATTTTCCTATTGCTTTAATTTTCGCTGGATTCGGTTTTATTCCTTCTTGTGTGACTACGTGTCCCAGAAAATTAACTTGCTTTTTAAGAATTCGCATTTGTCGACTTGAATTTCTAGTCGGGCTTCTCTTAGTCGTTGAACTTTTGTGAGATTTACTATGTGTTCCTGTAGTGATGTTGAATATACTATTACGTCATCCATATAGACGAGGTATATTTCTCCTTGAAGTCTCTTCAATACGTTGTCCATCATACGTTGGAACGTGGACGGAGCGTTCTTAAGTCCAAATGGCATTCTTAAATATTCGTAGTGTCCATTTTACACATTAAATGCTGTTTTGGGAATGTCTTCTTCAGCCATCTCGATTTGGTAAAATCCGCTCGCTAAGTCGAGGGTCGTAAAATATTGACATCTTCCCAGTTTGTCCAAAACCACTAAGGTGAGGAATTCTGTATCGGTCGTCAATTGTCTTCTCGTTGACCTTTTTATAATCTACCACTGTAACATCGGAAACCTTTTTTGGATGGTGCTAGAAAGGTCATCAATGGAGACACTGGAGTCGTGGGTTCGAAACTAGCTTTTGGAACCGAGAATGGGTCCAACATATGAAATAAGTAAAGATAGGATAAGAGATATTAGAAAAGATACAGAAATAAACAAAAAGATAGATGGGTAAAATTACCAAAGATACGATAAGATAGAAACAGGGCGCCACTCAATTTTTTTGGGGTTAAGGAGAAAATTGAGAAACCTTAGGAAAGAAAAGAGATAAGGAAAGATATTTAGGTTCAGAGATTAAACCCAAGGAAAGATACCAACAGTTAATTATCAAATAAATTTGGTCAACACATTATATAAACAAGTAATAAATATATTAGGTATTACACTTACTTACCTACGAAACTTAATCAGCCTGATCTTTCTACTGGTCAAAGGTATAGTTATATTTAAAGGTAAAAGCAAATATTTAGAGTTGCTATTTTATCAGGGAACTTGTTAGGAGCCGACAAATAAAATACATATATAAAACAATAACAATATACTCAATACTATGAAGCAAAAATTTGTTTTGTATATTAGCTGCATTAAGTCTGTCATAATAATGGTTTAGAAGTATTGTAAAAACTTTAATAAATTCGTGTAATTCATTTGGATTTCCGTCAAAATTTGGAAGAATGCATAATAGTCAAATCTATCTATCTATCTATCTAATTAGCCTTCTTCGGTCCATCTTTGGACATAGGCCTCCCCAATCCTTTTCCATTCTTCTCTGTCTGTCGCAACAGTCATCCATCTAGAGCCCACGTGCTTCTTGATATCATCTGCCCATCTCATTTGGGGCCTTCCTCTTCTTCTTCTTCTTCTACGGCACTACAGCCCAAAAGTGAGCCTTGGCCTCCTTTATTTTTTGCCTCCACCCTTGTCTGTCTGTGGCTGCTCTTCTCCATACACGGACTCCTAAAAGTGCTTGTGCGTCGCTGCTTACTGTGTCTTCCCAGCGCTTTCTTGGCTTTCCAACTGGTCTCTTTCCCTGCATTCTGGCGTTCAGTGCTCGTTTTGGTAGCCTATCCTCTCCCATTCGTATCACATGTCCGGGGCCTTCCTCTGCTTCGTTTATATTCCCACGGTCTCCAACTTATAAGAATTTTGTTCCATCGGTCTTCTTTTTGTCTTATATTGTGTCCGGCAAATCTCCATTTCAATTTTGCAACTTCTTGTCTAACATCCCTCACTTTTGTTTTCTCTCTTATCCACTCGTTTCTCTTCTTATCCATTAGTCTTATGTGCAACATTTGTCTTTCCATTGCTCTTTGGGTTTTTATGATTTTGTCCATGTTTGCTTTTGTAAATGTCCACGTTTGGGAACCATAAGTAAGAACAGGGAGTACGCATTGATTATATACTTTGGTCTTAAGATGCTGTGGATATCTTTTGTTTTTAAGAATGTAGCTTAGTTTGCCAAATGCCGCCCATGCCAGTCTAACTCGTCTCTTGATCTCTGCTGTTTGGTTCTCTTTGTTAAGTTTTATAGTTTGACCAAGATATATATATATATATATATATAATCCTTAACTTGTTCTATTTCATCTTGTCCGATTCTCATTGTGATGTCTTCATCTGTATTTGTTATAGTTTTGGTCTTGCTGTAATTCATATTAAGGCCTATCTTTCCAGCTTCTACGTCCAGTTCTTTCATCATTTCAAATAATTCTTCTTTTTTATCGGTTATCAATACGATGTCATCAGCGTACCTTAGATGGTTCAAGCGTTGTCCACAAATTTTTATACCTTTTTTTTCCCATTCTAATCTTTTAAAAGTATCTTCAATAGTCAAATCAGTATAGTAAATTTTCAATAGTCAATATATAAATATATGAATCTTAATCTACTTATTTTCTATCTATTAATCTCTATGTTTATTAATATATAGTATTTATTAAGCTATTCAAATTTGTCTTTAAATAAGTTTCCGAATCTGACTCTAAGGTCAATCTAAGGACTTAAAGGGGATATTTTTAAATTATTTTAATCTTTCTGTTAATCTATTCAAATCTTTGTTTAATTTATCTTCCAATCTAGCTCTGATTCAATCTAAGGACTCAGGGTAGTCTGATTTAATAAAAATTTCTTTAAAAATTTAATCTTCTTAATTCTAAGTAATAATAAAAATCGCTTATAGGATAAAGACGATGCCGATGTGTATTCCTTTGCTCCGGAAGGCTTCTAACTTCTAATTCCCTCGGGTGAACTCTGCAGACGGTTTCCCTGGGGTTGGTTCTTGGAACAGTGGACAAACACTTAAAAGTGACGAGGATCAATAAATTAAAATCAGACTGAAAAATATTGATTTTTACATGGTGTTTTATAATTTTATAATTGCTGATCTTGCTGTCCAATAGAACGTCCAATTCTACGTCGTAATTCAGTCCAGAATGTTCAAGCGGTAACCCCGTGTTGAATCCACTGGATCGTAGCGGTCATTGTACTGTAACGGGAACGAAAATGGGGGAAACCATTTTTATTTTATGTTCAGTTTGTTTCCATTTAACATACAATAAACAATACTAATACTGGTGTAGCATTTTTTATCCAGGTATATTGTATAGTATGTAGTAATTGAAATTAAGTATGAGGAAAAATAAAAAGTGTTTTTCATGTTTTTACTATTAAAAAATAGTAAAAACATGGTTTAATTAAAAATTAAAATTTAATTAATTAATAAAAAAAGAAAACATGTAAAAAATTAAACAACAGTAAAGTGATATAGGTACATTTTACATTACGAATATTTTCCAAGAGAACACTGTTTGAAGATACATTAAGTTATAAGTTATATTCGTTTTGTAATTTAAATTTTCATAGTACATACCAAACTATACTAGTCTTCATATTATACGAATTAAATGAAGTTAATACTTAATTTATTTATAATGTTAATATTTAGCTAGACGAACCCTTCATGAAATACTGAACGAATTACCACAGCTTTTAATGATGAAAGTTAAAAAGCAACAAAACAAAAAGTTTACTAGTGCTCTATTTTTTTCATCAGATATTTTACGGAAATTCTTCTTAATCTCACATTTATTATCATATGTAGATTTCTGGGATATCTTTTTGACATTCTTTAGCATATTACGAATGTGATTATAATGGATAAATAGGAAAAAAGTTTTTAGGTATCGCGCTCTATCAACATTAGCCAAATTTGTTCTGCTTTTCGATCACCGCTTATTTGACAAAGAACTTCTGTATCTCTGGAAAAGAATAATAAATGTAGTTTTTATAAAAAAGCACGAAGGCAGAAGTACTACTAATCCAGAACATAATTTTGCTTGGTTTGAAATTACAACTGTTCCATTTCCCGCTCCCGTTGGTAACATTCTTATTCCTAGAAGACTTGATATTTGGGCTAAATCCAAATTTCGTAAAGGTAAGAAAAAGGGTCATTATTTACAATATAATATATGTTTCGAGGTTAGTTACTTTTATAAATATTTGTTTTAAACTAAGTAATGGATAAACACCTCGATGGCGTCGTTGTAAGAACATCAACTTGGCATTTTTGTCGGATTAGTACAAGCCCTCTACCCTGATCTGAGGTACCGATTTTTAAAATAATTTTAACACATTTTAGAGGAGGAAAAACCTTTCACAATTCACTGAATCTTATACCATTATACTATATAATTAAAATAAAATGAAGGAGCAAATATGAGATAGAAATATAACAAATTATGATAATAAAAGGTTGGGTAGTGCCACAAAAAGTTACATTTAAGGCTGTTTTATCGGTACACCAAAACCTAGATACAGTGTTTTCTCTGTTATATACCGACAAAATATCTCGAAATTTGGACACGTTATTCAAAATTATGTTGCGTTTAAACTGATGGTTTTACTTTTTTAATTTTTTTGAAAGTTCTTTTGAAATATCGGATTATACAGTTTAACGTTCTATTATAACCAAACTTTTTACGCCCATCACTTGAAAGAGTTTTTTTTTCTGTAATCGTTGGTTTTTTTTTCACCTTTTTATGTCCAGTAATAATCGAGAAAAGCGTGTTCAAACTTTGAAGAAAATTGCTAAAAAATACTGAAATCTAATAGTGAAACGTGTTACTCATTATTGGCATTTAGTTTCACCGTTATCGGCTTTTTCTTAGAGTGCCGTCTCCCTACGGAGGTTGGCAATCATAATGGCTATTTTTATTTTAGAACTTGCTGCTCTAAACAAATCAATCGATCTGCATTGGTACCAATCACGTAGATTCTTTAACCATGAGTTCTGCCTTCGGCCAACAGATCTTCTTCCTTGAATTTTTCCCTATATTATCAGTCTCAAAATTTCATATTTTGGTCCCCTCATCACGTGGCCTAGGTATTCCAGTTTTCTGGTTTGTATAGTGGTGATTAGTTCTGTTTCTTTACCAACCCTCTCCAGTACTTCTTTATTTGTAATTCTATCAGTCCATGATATTTTCAATACTCTGCGGTATAACCAGAGTTCGAAGGCCTCGATTCTTTTTAAATTACATTTTTTTAATGTCCAAGTCTCAGCTCCATATAATAATATTGAAAATATATAAGAGCGAATGGTACGTAGTCTGATCTCCAAAGTTAGATTTTTGCACGTTAGGAGTGGCTTCATTCGTATAAATGCTGATCTGGCAATCTCTATTCGCCTGTTTATTTCTACAGTATGATCATTGGTTTCATTGATCAAAGTTCCCAAATACTGATATTTTTCTACTTGTTCTATCACGTTACCATTTATTGTCAATAGGTGATGTATATTTGTCAATAGGTGATGTAGCCGTTATCGGCTGCGTGACGTCAAATCTCATGAACGTACGGTCAGATAGTTTGATTTGAAATCAATTTCAAGCTATAACTGCGAAATTGTTTATTTGTTTGTGACAACAAATTGTATTTTTTTTTTTGATAATAATATTTTTGTTATTTTAAATTTATTATAAATAAACACCATGATGTTTTTTGCAGTCACGTTTCACAAATTTATATTCAATACTATATTTAGCTAAGACATATAAATTAAAAATGTGATAATTATTTTTAAAACATCTACGATAATCAAACAAAAAAGGTATTCCCGACAAAAGTAATTTGAATTGAGAATAATGCATTTGTTGTCATTAAACCACCCGCCGACCGGCGCCACTGCGAAAACAGCTGTACCCGTCGTCGGCTGGCGTAAGCAGTGAGGAAAAGTAAGTGATACGCCCATTTCAAATCGCAGTGTGTTTTGACTGCTAAAACAGGCTTAAAAGCGTCGTTAAAACTTTATGTTTATGTTTACCATATTTTTTTTATTTACCAGCTAAATATCTAGCGCATCACTGCGGAACTTCTACGACAAGTTTCGCCGGCCCACGTCTGTTTGTGAAGCTTTAGCGCTGTAGGCCTAGACCAAGATCCAAGTCCACATCACTGCCCATGGAGTCTAATCTCTAAAAAGAGGTTTGACATCACGTAAAATCTTAAGCTTACTCACCTGGGTCGATCATTTTGACCTGATTAAACTAGACAATCACCAATCCAAAAACTTGTCAACCTCTGATAGGCCAATAGATACAGAGAACCTGTGAAGACGTTTCGTTTTCCTCATCCCATAAGTAGACGTAGTTGCTATTTAAGTCTTTCACTGAGCATGCCAACGATCAAAAAACATATATCATAATTAATTAGGAGTTGAGATGCTACTCTGCTACGTAGAACTTAACTTGACTGACAGCCTCAGTAAAGGAGTCCTGATATCCAGACTACATTGATCTTATGGATCATCATAACAGTGGTAGACCAGGGTGGATCTGCAAAAAAATAGGCTAAATTTGGATGTGAGAGGTGGCATTCGGATTTTTGCAGAAATAGTTAGGTGATAATTTCAGTAATAACAATTGACTCATCCTGCCTCTCAAACAGTTCAAGAACATTAATAAAATAATGAAAATATTTATGAATTACTAAAAATATCGATTTTTTTCTACTTTCCTTGCTTATAACTTTAAAAGAATACATTTTGGAGCAAAGTCGTAATAAAATAAAATACTGACAATTAAATTTTCTATAATATACGGCTGGTTAAAAATGTTTTAATTTATTATCCTTGCTGCAAAATAGCAGTAAATACAAAAAAGAGGGGGAAACAATCCTTTTTTATTCAATTTTTTTAATCACATAGATTACACTTACCCCTTCATACTTCGTCTAAAAAATCTTTATAACACAGTAAAACAGTCCTTCAAATTTCATTAAAATCGATTTAACAAATTTTGCATAATAATTTTACAATCTAAACTTTTTTTAATTTAAATTTTTTTAAAATCTTGCACAACAAAAACTAAAACATATAGAAGTTTGCTAATTTTTTTACTAATAAAAATGTACTTAACTTATTTAACTATCTTTATGGTAGAAATTGGATTATTTGGACAATTTTTTGACTTATAAACAAATAGAATATCTCGATAAATATTAGCTTAAATTTAATTCAAGAAACGGCGTTGGAAAAGACTCAGCAAGACGTTTCTTATAAAAGAAAAACCATCAGTATTGCGCGTGAAAAATACCAAATTAATTAATTTGAGACAAATTGAATTTCACATACTAAAATCGGTGTACGTAAAAAATGTATTTACTCGGCTTCCAATAAAGGAATTTTCTTTATTTTTTTAATTAAATGTAACTCAAATAGAGCAATCTAAAAAACGCATTCTCATATGCTGGAAATGCTTTAGTTTCCTTAGAAATAAATTTATTTATTTATACTTTAGTTGTTAGAGACGAAAATGTCACTGAACCTCTGAAAATCATACGAACAAGCTGAATTTTTCTGAGAATGCTAATTTAGGGATCCCAAAAAATATGCAAAAGAGTTTACTATTCCTACCTCCCTGTTTCCCCCTAAAACCACCCCCACGTTGGGAATAAAACGGAAAAAATCTATTTACCAAAAATGGGTGCGTCGTTTTAAAAAAGATTTTAAATAAAAAATATAGCTTAGACAAATCTGTACCAAAATGTTTCACTTGTAGATTTATGAGCACTTTTTGTGTAAAATAAACGGTTCTTTTAAAAATATAGCTGGAAGCGACGCAGCTACGTGCGTAAAATCAATTTTAAAGAAAATATGTATCAACTTGACGGTAAAAATTCGATATCTTTTGATCAGGGTGTTCTATCGACAAAGTTCAAAAAGGGTTTTAAAGATTAGAAGTGCAGTTTCTGTAAAAGTGTTAAATAAATAAATAAACGTTGATCGACTGTTGCCATTTTTTACGATTATTATGACATCATTAAAATTTATCACTTTTCCATTAAATGGTCACCATGGAATTTTCATTTTGAAAGCTCTATCATCAAAACCTATGGCATGAATTTTAGATTTTGATTTTTGGCAACAAATGGGAGACATTTCAAATATGCCTAAAAAACGCTGAAGTTAAACTTTCACATATTTTTTACGGGGTTAAGCCACAATTATCCGTTGTCTCAAAATCAAAATCGAACATGCATGACATAGATATTGAAGATTGAGCTTTAACAATAGAAATTTCCTGGTGATTGATTAATGAAAAAGTAATAAATTTTAATGATCTCATGAGAATCGTAAATAATGGCAAAAACCGCGCAACGTTTATTTATTGAACAGTTGTATAGAAAATGACTTTAATTTGACAAAATGCAAGAATTGCATAAGGAAGCTGCATTCATCACCTTTAAAATACTTTTTTATTTTTGTCGTTAGGTCACTCTGATCAAAAAATTTCTTAAAAATTGATTGCGCGTAGCCGCGCCGCTTCAAGCGAAGTTTTTGAGAGAAAGGTTTATTTTACACAAAAAGTGCTAATAAAAACTTTCATTAATTACTATTTAACTGGGAATAAGCCACAATTAACGATAAAAATACGTTTATTGACGTTTCAATTTCCACTTCGGAAATCGTTCTCAAAATACAAACAGTAAATTAAACAAATTTTGTTTTTTGTTACATAGTGAAAAATTCTTCTAATAATTTAATTTTATCTGACTCATTTATATTGACAATTCAGACATACATTATGCATTTTAAAGTAGAACGACTTTAAAATGATATTGCCAATATTGTTGAGTTGCGCTCCTGGGACGACTTTACTTATAAGATAGTTCATTCGATTACATGAAATCAACTTTAACTTGAGAATATCCGTCAGAAAAAATCATAGCATATAATTCGTCTTTAAAAAGACAAACACATGACATGATGACAGTAAAATTCTCCTGTTAGTGATTCATAGTAAATAGAGGAAAACCAGGAAAAAACCTCATAATACTATCCCGACATGGTAAGTATTTGTTCGTGCATTTAGTTTACCTTCAATAAACACCAAAATTCTGATTTTATATGTTCGTTATTTAAAAAACATAAATGATGTATCCTCTATATGTTACTGACTTATAATACTGGTATTTTCTTATTAATAACTTCCTCTTTCAATATTGGTAACCAGATCCTACTACATTCTGCCGAGGAATTTGCGACACAATTGGCCTCATTTAGCATAATTAAAGCCGCTTCTTTGATTTTTCTTTTTTTACCATCCGTCTCTTTTAGGACTACATTTGAATTATTCCATTGAACCCTATGTTCATTATCCCATGCGTGTTTACATATTTGAGATCTATCAAATTCTCTATTTTTAATATAAGACTGATGTTCACTTATTCTAACATTTAATGGCCTTGATGTTTCACCTAAATAAAACTGATCGCATTCACGAGGTATTTTATAAATGCAATTCTTTGTCCTTTCTTGTTCATTGTTAGGTTTGGTTTTGGACAAAATAGATCTCAACGTGTTTGTTGTTTTGAATGTTGTTGAAATTTTGAATTTATTGCCTATCCTTTTAAGTTTTTCTGATAATCCTTTTATGTACGGTATTGTTATTTTCCTCGTATTATTCCTTGTGTATGCTGTAGAATCTCGTTCTAAAATGTTCTGTTCTATTCGATCGATTGTTCAAAATTCCTTATTTATAAGTATTATATTCATTATTATATTTTTTTATTAAATTTATTTATATTCTTATAAGTAAAGTCGTCCCAGGAGCGCAACTCAACAATATTGGCAATATAATTTTAAAGTCGTCTACTTTAAAATGCATAATGTATGTCTGAATTGTCAATATAAATGAGTCAGATAAAATTAAATTATTAGAAAAATTTTTCACTATGTAACAAAAAACAAAATGTGTTTAATTTACTGTTTGTATTTTGAGAACGATTTCCGAAGTAGAAATTGAAACGTCAATAAACGTATTTTTATCGTTAATTGTGGCTTATTGCCAGTTAAATAGTAATTAATTTAAAATGCCACAAGAAAATAGCTTCAGAACAATAAAAACTTTCATGAAAAATTGTCTCAGCTACATTTTTTTTTAATATTTTTTCTCCGATGTAACGATTCTTGGAAAATCGATTTTTCCCGTTTTTTTTCCTACAAGGGGGAGGGGTGGTTTTGGGGGAAACCGAGGGGTAGGAATAGTAAACTTGAATTTTGCATATTTTTTGGGGTCCCGAAATTAACATTATCAGAAAAATTCAGCTTGTTGGTATGATTTTTAGAGGTTCAGTGGTATTTTCATCTCTGACGACTGGAGTATAAATAAATAAATGTATTTATAACAAAACTAAAATATCTCCGCCATTTGCAGTTGGTTTTTTAACTGGTCATTGTCAACTAAGCAAACACCTCCACACACTGGGGCTAGCAGAAACACCTCTATGTAGGAAGTGTGAACGAGAAGACGAAACTGTAGAGCATGTCCTATGTGAATGCCCAGAGTTATCGTTAATACGAGAGTGCGCGTTCGGCGAGTTCTGTCCTACAACTGCCCACATAAGAGAGATGTCTCCTGGTCACTTGTCCACCTTCCTAGAAATGGCAGGCAATGCAATTTCAATTTGCACCTCGGAAATCGTTTGAGAACGATTTTCGAAGTGGAAATTGAAACATCAATAAACGTATTTTAACCTTTAATTGTGGCTTATTCCCAGTTAAATAGTAATTAATTAAAAATGACACAAGAAAATAGCTTCAGAACAATATTAAGAAACCCTTTTAGATAAGATACGACAAGTATATACCGCATATCCGTACTTATACACACGGCGTAGAATAAAAAAATGCTTTTTAAGGCCATGTGTATATTTTTCGTACATTAGTCAAACTACAAAAAATATGATTAAATTATTTAAGCAATGTATATAAGGTATGTTGATAAACAATTTTAAATACATTTTCATAAAAAAGTGTAATGTAAACATAGCAAGAAAGTAAAGAATAGAAAAAATAAGGGCTAAGTAGCAGTGGGGGGATAACAATTATTCAAAATAATTATTATAGATTTCAACTTCGATACAGTAACGTATACATGTAATCTATACAAAGAAAAACAATTTGACCCAGTTAGTTGCATGACACGAGCCAGTATCAGTTGCAACAATAATTGTTCAAAAAAGAAAATAGTCACGTTTTAATAAACATAGACCTATGCTGGAAAATATTAACAGCGCCGACCTGGTTTAAAACATGAGGACTCAGCAAAATAAACTAGGAATGTTCACGGGACATAAAAACTAAAAAAATTGGTCAACCAGTCAGTCAGTAATAGCTGGGCACCGTGACTTCCCGCTCAGGCAGGTGATCGCCGGCTCCGGGTCGGACGCGATAGCGTCCAGTACGCGATCAGTAATAGCCAGTCAGTCAGTATCTCCGGGCGGGGCTGCAAGGCGAGAGGCGACACCAGGTGCGGATTACGCGCGATTGTTATATTTCGACGGGGTATAGTTCCGTATAAGTGTAGGGTACTGAAAGAAATCCGATTTCCAGAGGAACTGAAGGGCGTATCATTAGCTAGAGCCTAAATACGCGAAAGGTAACAAAATTCTATATACTAACCTGAGTAAATTATAGTATTACAGATTGTCACCCCTTTACTTTCTTGCTAAGATCTCTTCTCGTCTCCCTTCGCGCCGAACGAGTTATTATTAATTATATCTGACAGCTTGTTAACTTAATTGTAAATCACATAGTATATTCAATACATTTGTAGACTCTAAATTTGGCTTTTATGTTCCTTTCGACCGATTCAGACAGAGACCAGAAGAGTACCAAATTTCGGCTTATACATTTATCCGGCTTCTAAAGTAAGCCCATAGACTCAAACTCTTTACAGGACCTGAGACCTAGAAGTCCTTAATCCTTATTCCAAAGTTCCTTACCTTCTCGTAAATCCACGAAGGCGAGCCAGCCCTCCAGACTAGTGGGACCAGTAATCCTTGCAGCCGCTCGCAGGGATAAGCATCCTTAAGGTTCATATTGAGGATATTACAAAAGTTAGTGTGGCGTACAGGGCCCTTATGGTGAATTTGGTATGGCAGTCAAAGTGTTAATATACCTGACCTATTTAAGAGTAATTATTACTGAAGTTATCACCTTAAATTCGAATGTCACCTCTCACGTCCACCTTAAAAACACATCCGCCCTGGTATATAGTTAAAGTCCTCTTACAGTTTAAAACTAGCTTAGATCCAACTGTAAGACAGTTTATGGTGCTTGATTTCTGAGCAGATAGTGATGGCCCTGCCAAAGGAGACCTTTTCCTCTACATCTCAATTTCAGATTGTGAAAATCTACACCCAAAAAACCGATACATAGAAATTCTGCATATTCAAAAGGCCGTCCTTATAGGCCTCTCTTATTAACCAAAGGAGTTATAGGATTTTTGTAGTTATCGTTCTTTTTCTACCTGCCTATTTTATGAAATTAACATTTTGAAGACGCTTCTGTTCTTTTAAACAATAACAAATTGTTGATTTATTTTAGGTTTTGACTTATTTAAAGATAAAACTTTGGACTTACAAAATCAAACTTTAAATGTTGTTGTGTTTTCTCATATACCAGGGGTACAAAAAATTAATACCAGCCATACTCTAAGGGCAGTGTATAGTAAAACAGAATTAAATGAAACTTCAAGTTTTGCAGGGACTGAGATAGAAGTAAGTATGTTCAATAAAAAAGTAAAAGTAAAAAGACCATACTGACCATATTGTTATCTGAAAATCTTTTATAGACCAAAATATAATTTCAGATTTTACAAACAATTTCCAAATGGATGAACTTCAATGTAGAAGTTTATGAACCTCCAAATATAGAAAGGGAACTTTGGGGACGACCTCTAATTGGAGGAATCTATACCGGTGTTATAGGCGAAGTTGTAAGTACTAGAGCAGATATTGCTCTTGGAGATTTATATTATACACCGTATTTACTTAACTTAATGGATCTGACGGTTCCCTATAATACAGAGTGTTTAACATTTATTACACCAGAAGCTCTAACAGACAATTCTTGGAAAACATTGATACTACCGTTCAGGTAAGAATATAATATATCTCCTTCTTAGTTTTAATGTTAATAAAAATATCGTAATATGAATTGATCTTTTGAATATTCCTATGTTTTTTAGTCTCCTAATATTTTTGACACAGCAGTCAATAACTTTTTTATCTTCTATTTTTTCCTATATTTCAAACCATTTGTTCCCGCTGAAGAATATTTTCTTTTCATAATAATAAATTTAATTCACTAGCCATTGTGTGTATTATATTGCATAAAGGAAAAGAAACACACGGAATATTTTGATTGGTCAGTAGATCGATACTGGCAACGAATAAAAATAGAAATCGGCCCAAATTTGGGGCGTAATCTTTTAATTCAGATTTGTAGGTTAATTAGGACAATATTCATCACTACTAGAAATTTGCTTTAAAATCCTTAGAGGAAGATCAATTAGTAATAATAAATTATGGAACCCCTACTAGAATGGTATTGCCTGGTCAAAACCCATCAGCAGTATATCTAACCATTGTCAGTCAAAATATTGCAACCAAGTGTCATTGGTGGGTATATTCTGACACTGGACGTAGTGATCATTTCCCAACAGTATGCGAATACAATCAAATCTAGACATCTACAAGTCCACTGCCATATAGAAAACGTAATTTTAAAAAAGCAAAACGGTCTAGATATGCAGATACTATTGAAAAGAAAATACATGTTCTACATGATGTAAGATATAATGAATGGTATGAAATAATCAACTCAAGCGCACAAGAAAATATTCCATATCATATGTACAAACCGAACGGTAAGAGTGTACCATGGTGGGACGATGAATGTGAGCAATTGATATTAAAAAGAAGAGAATCAATTAAGAATTACATTGAAAATCAGACGTTGGAAAACTACATAAATTGTAATAAAGTAAAGGCTTTTGTGAAAAGGCAACTTCAAATTAAGAAAAGGATGAGTTTTAGAGCATTTTGTGGGACCCTTAATCGAGATACACCAATCAGCAAAATGTGGAATACAGTTAAAAAATTTAAAACATATTTTGGCAATAGAAATACAATTTCTCCGAATAAAGAAATTTGTATAAATATTCTAGACAGCTTAACCTCTTGTAATGTAAATCCCTACTTTACCTTGTTAAACGATAATAATGAAAGTCTTCAATCCATTACATTTAATGAGTATAAAAATATTACATACTCCAAAAAAATAAAGCAACTGGGTTAAATAATGTATCATATTCTATTATTAAAAATTTACCCCCAATAGCACATTTTCATCTTATTAAATTTTTTAATGATATCATAGAAATGAGTAAAATTTCTTTTGAATGGAAACAAACATTAATATTACCTTTTTTGAAACCTACTAAATGCCCAGATAATCCAGAGAGCTATAGACCAATTGCCTTAACTTCATGTGTAGATAAGGAACTGGAAAATATAATTAAGAATAGAATAGAATGGTTTGTAGAACACAACAGCATTTTATCGCAGTATCAAATAGGATTCCGCAAGGAACTTAGTTTCAATCATGCACATATACTACTATCACATATAGTACTTAATGCATTTACTGATAAGAAGGTAGTATTAACTGTTTTTTCTTGATCTAAAAGCTGTTTATCATGATTATGTGTCTTTACTAATAAATTGTTGATCTTTAATAGTTATCGCTGGTATTGCCCATGATACTATAACAAATAAGATATGCTCATTTGACGTTCTAATTTTAATCGACTTTGCGCATGACGTCATAGCGAGACAAAGCTTGGGGACTTGTGTGTATCATATATGTTAACGATGCATCATATGGCAACGTTGTTCCATTACTGTAATGAACAACTTCGAAATTGTTAACGGTAAGTATACATCGGTGCCATATCTTGCACTAAGAAGTCATAACTAGTTACTTTCTGTGAAAACGTAGTTTGAAAATTAATAAGTAATTTGTAAAATTAATTAAAGAAATATATGAAATCTACGATTTAATTGTGTGTATTACAAACAAAATAAATATTGCTACAACACATAAATTAAATATAAAAGGCCGGTAAAATGTAAAGAATTTGGACCATAAAGGAAAAGCGGGTCATACTTGAGACTTTATGAATATCCTTTAGACATGTATTTTACAATCTTTGTGATTTTTCTCTTGCGGATATTATAATTATCTTTAATGTTTTTATTTGGAATTCGTATTTTAAAATACATTTTACATCTAAAAAAAAAGTAATTTTACATATTCGCTAACATTTACATATTTTGCAGCTTCTATTAAGTTAGTTTTTTAAATATTTTTTTGTTATTTTTAATGTGTCGCAATTATAACTACGAAAAATATGTTCCAGTTCAGTACATACTACATACATCCAAAGTAACTTTTTTTAAAGACCTATCAAAAATAAAGTATTACTTCAAGATCTATTAAAATGGGCACTAGTATATATTATTATCTATAGAAACATTTATGATTATCTATAGAAACATTTGCTCTGCTGTTAAAGTGTGTCTAAAACCAAAATACTTACATGTTTTTTAATACATTTCTTTTCTCCATTCTTCTTTTGCGTCTATTTTCAGGCGATGTTTTAGCGCTTGGGGGTTTTATTAAATGAAGAGAAGGTATGGCATAATTTCTTAACTTCCACTATTTGTCAGGCAATCACAATAGTTTTTCTTTTAAACAATAATCAGCTTCTGTAAAATGTTTTTAGCATATTCTCGCGGTTTTTACGTTAAATTTGTCTCGCTGAAAACACTTGGAGACACATACTTTACGCATTTGTTTGTCTCTAGGAAACACAAAAAAACGACACGTCGAAAAAGTTTTACTTTTTTTATTATTTTTTTTTTAAACAATCCACCATTGTACAATACATATGGCAAACAAATAATTAGTCTTTTTTATAAAGTAGCTACAGGTAGTCGAGAGGAAGTTGCGTACGATAAACAAATTAGGTGATATTAACACAGTAAACTGGATGTTTTCACCACAAAATTTATATAACAATATAATACACAAAGTCTTTACTACATCAATGAATAAATAAAAATATCATTCACTACGTTTTGAAATATACAGGATAGCAAACTCGATTAACACAGAAACATAAGTAACATGAACACTTATGAGCATTGAATTTGCCGTCATTACCGTTTTCTGCTAGCGTAACCGTATGGTCACACTAAATGGCCCCTTTTAAATATACAATATTTAACACATACAGCGATATATGCAACTAGTAATACGACCACGCGGACTAGAGATATCTATGTAACGAATGACATACCCGGTACCTAATCAATTCGCTGGCAAAGTCGTGTTATAGTTGATGTTTGTTGGTGTTACAACGAGAAAGCATCAAAATGGACGTTCGCTTTGAGTAAGTAATATTTTTTAATCTTATTTTTAAAGAAAACAAAAATATCCTATAACAAATAGGATCTAGAGACATGTGTTTAAGACATGTTTATATAATTTATCACAAAAGTATTGTATCAAATGCGGTAGAGCTTCTAATATTTGTTTGTGACCATAACGTCACACAGGGATAATATGTGATAATTAATAGGTTTTTTCTTTTTAGACGTGGTTTTACATTACATTGACCATGTTATATAATGACGAAAATATAGAAAATGATGAAACATCGGTGTTTATTTGTCCTCCAGATGTTCTTGAGGATACGGATGAAGATTCCGGGGACGAAGACGATGGTGGTTTAGTTGACAATTTGTCTCATAGACAGTTATTAGCGCCAGCTGAAATTCGAATAAATCGTAACGAAAATATGGAAAAAGGAGAGGAAGACTCTGTGGATGAAATAAAGACAACAAAATCTGATGAACAGGTGAGTCAGATAAACGAGGGAAAAAATAAAAAATGTAGACTTTTAAAAAAAACTGAGATCAAGCAAGGGATAGAGGGAGATTTGATACATAATAAAAAATTTAAAAACGAGAATAAATCTGAAAGTTATGAATTTTATGACATGAGTCCATTACAACTATTCGAACTATTTTTTGACAACGATATGTTTGAACATATTTTACAAGAAACAAAAAAATATGCTGCGTTCAAGAATTTTCCAGATCCAAATCTGTCCATTGATGAATTAAAATGTTTTTTCGGAATTTTAATTTTACCCGGCTACCATCCCTTACCGGGCAGAACATATTATTGGGATCAACAGGAAACAGGGATCAACAAAAGGAAAGAAAAAAAAAACACCAAATATAGTTTTCCGCCGAGAAATTGCACAGATGTATATGCGAAAATATGGAGTACCGCCTAGACGTCCTGGTAAGCCTTCAGTCAGCAAGAATAGTCTGTCCATGAATAGAGTGCCCGACAATCTACGATATGACAAAATTGACCATCTTGTTGTTCCAGTTCCTAACGGTGTAGGTGTGCAGGAGAAGGATGTTCTTCTGTGATACGTACACAATGTAAAAAATGTAATTTAGGACTTTGCATTGAGTATTTTGAAATTTTTCATACACAGTAGTAAATACATAATGTCTATATAGGTAACCTCCCTGTGTGACCATATGGTCACAGCGTTTTTTTTCTTATGTTTATAACAAAAAATTAATAAAAACATATTTTTACGTTTATTTAGTTTCATTTCATTGTCATCTGCAGTTATATTTATGAAAAAAATATATTTATTGATATTTTGGTAGAAAATGGGTTAAACTTGTCTCGGGCTTACGTCACAAGAACATGCGCGTTGACTTATCTTGTTTTGTTATAGTATCATGGGTATTGCCAATCATTAAAAATGGTTTAGAAACTTAGCGGAAATGTGAGGAAAGTGCTAAAAAACAGATACTGTATTTAATGCAAGACACTGCTGAAAAATCTTTTCAGAGAAGTAGAATTTTATGTTTGTCATTTATAAACGCTCCTCCAACAGATTATGACACAATTTTAACACCACTTCTATTTTGATTGAAAAATGTACAGCTTCCAATCAAAAAACGTTATATTATGACATTTGAAGAATCTCTACAATGAAATCGCTATAGTGGGTGTACCACGTAAAAAGACGCATATCCAGACTCTACCTTATAAATGACTAGTAAAGGGGGCGATAATAAATTAATAATAACAGGAATGTTATGAAAATATAAATTATATGAATAAAAAATATATAATAGAAAACTATACCTAATGGTTAGTTTTTATCGTATTCTTACGAATATTCAAGAACCCTAGACAACTTCGGAGCGCTGTAAAAGCAAGATATAGGTATTGATGAAATTAAACAAATTTGTAGTGAAAATTATGCGTTGAAAAACCCTCTATAATATTGCTTTGATATCATTTTATTTTAAAATTACCACAAAAAAAGTTATAAGGCCCAAAAGAAAATTTGTTCAAAAACTTTTAGTTATTTTTGTTTATAACTTTTTTGTTGATCATTTTGCGATAAAAAGTATTAGGAATAAAGTTGTAAACGATTTAATTTGCCTTAATGTCTCATAAAATTGCGAGTTTACAGAGATACAGTGCGGAAACCCTTTGCGCCACTTTTTCCAACATGGTGGCCGGGGGACAAGCATGGTAACTCCACAAACTTGAAGTTAAGCTTATACTTATCCCCCAACACATCAAAAAATTAAATTGCGTCCTCTAAAAAATGCACATTAAGGCCTAAAAAATGTAACATTTCAATTGACTGATATCAACATAACGTTTCAATTAGTTCTCCATTTACTCTGATTTGATAGCTGTATTGTGTACATTTATTAGCGCAATCAGACGAAGCGATGCTGAAATTTAAAATGGAATCTATTCACAATTCACAAGATTGAAAAATTTATCATAAACAAAAACAAAACTTATTCACTGGACATCTCTATAATGCTTCGTATGATTAATATTAGCACACAAATCGTAGCACACCCTAGCATCAAACTTACAGGCTCCCTTACAATAGTAATAACGTAGTTACGACATTACTATTTTTGAATTTATGAAATTTTTCCATCTCTTCTACATTATTAATTTTTGTATCAGTATCTGTCGTAAATTCTCTTATCTGTATAATCGAACTTCTCATTTTATCTTTTAATTGTTTTATATTGAAGGTACTTTGTTCGTTTAATTTTCTTTAAAATCTTAATCTATCGATGAGAATATTGTGATTTAATTTTATATAAGCTTTTACTGAAGTCATGACATCTCTACAGTTTTGTTAACATTTTATGATCTATTTGATTTCTTACTACATGCTCGAAGATGTGTTACACCAATTTCCAAGTATGCAGAAGTCCCTACTAAATCTTCTACTTATTCGTTGCCTTTTTTAGCGTTGAAGTTACTTGTAAACAGGTTTAGATCGTTTTTTGGTAGTTTTTAGTAACAGCGTCAAGATTAGAGGAGAGTCACCCAAGTTGGGACGGTTTTTTTTATAACAAATACTTGAAAATCTATAGATATTAAAAAAAAGTTGAGGTAATAAAATGAAACTTTATTCTAATTATTAACACATTTTAAATAAAACTAAATAAAAAATAAAAAATATGCTTCGTTTTTTGTTATTAAAAAAAAAGTGTGAATATCCCATCATGAGAAACCGGAATCCTAAGATGGTCCGTTGGGTTTCTCAAAAAGGGACATTACTCTATACAACTTCCACAAATAAAACAGAGATCATCCATTACTCCACAAGACTCATGAGCCCAATTTGAACATATTTTGAGTTGTACCAGTCTTCACTACTCTCTTCGTACTTCTTTCCACATACAATGCAGTTTGAATCATTTTTAGTTGAAGTAACGACTGTGATATTGCTAATATTTGCATTTCGAGCGCTGTGGTCCATAACTCCAGTTCGTTTCACAGATTTAACCTTGTTAGTAGGGTTTGTGGATTGCAACGTCTCTACTTCATTTTTATACGGCGATTCTGTGAGTATCGTGGATTTCAGAGAATGTCTAGAAGAAGTCTTACCTTTCTTTTTCTGTTCCTTTGGTAGCGGACGAATATCAGTCACTTTTACCTTGGATGTCGGAAATTGGATAGGAATGATTTGGCTTCTCTGTATCGGTCTGTTATCTTCCGAATCGCCATCTTTAGGTGACCTTAAAACAGACTGTTTTGAGGTTGAAGGAATCGGATTATCATACATTTCAACTTGATTTACGCCTTCTGTATGAGCCATCATTACGGGTAATTTATTGACCTGTGATGTAGTTTCATTGTCCACTGATTGTTCCGTCGTTTTAGAGGGAGCGAATTCACAATCTTGAAATACGTCTTCGTTAGAAGGCCAAATTCCGGTTATTCGGAATCCATTTGTAGCTATATGTACAGAAGATGCCTTTGAGATTGCTTCTGCAACAGCCCCTGACATTTGATATATTCCAAATGTACGACCACAATGATTTTTAGCCATCTATCATAGTAAGGTACAAATTATAATAACTCATAAATGATTTAAAATACGAAACATCTAGGGGTTGCATTTTATGCGTGCAGTGTGGTGGCAGGCATAATAAAATAATACCATTCTCGCGACAGAAGTTTATAACGTCTAAACTTTTTGTATGTGAACAATAGCAGTCCAAAATAATAAGAATTTTGCACTCCTTCGAAGGTCTGGTTTGTTGTGCAAAATATTTTATGAATTTTAAAAAAACATCACGAGTCCATCCATCCTTTGTCCTGTGAAAATGCCGGACTACCGTTAGGTGCATTGTCCATCAGCTCTGGTTTTATTTTCTTTCTGGGAAATATAAAAGCATGCGCCAGAAAATTGCCACTTGCACTCATAGCAGCTACTATAGTGACATTAACTCCTCTTTCGGCACTTCGGCAACCTCCCACTTGCTTTTTACCCCTCTGAGCAAGAACTTTAGATAATTTTTGGACGGTGGTCACTCCGGTCTCATCAATATTCCAGATTCTATCTGGATTGAGGTGATGTTTATTATAAATACTTTCCAGGTTGTTGAAAAAACTTTGGACTGCATACTTGTTGAATCCTGTAGCTCTAGCGTATGAGGTTGCTTCTGGTTTTCTCAGAGAAATATTTCTATGTCGACTCAAAAACCCATAAACCCACTTTTTAGAGGCCATTCGAGTATATTTATTAAAATTGTTAGCAATATTATTGGCTTGGGCAAAGTCAAATGCCAGACAACGAAGTTCTTTATAAGTGATTCCAAAAAATCGCTTTTCCATTTCAACAATATGATCTAAAATTTCGTGTTCCTGTTCAACTGAGAATATTTGCCTAAACCGACCAAGATATTTGTCATTTTCGGTCACGATTTTATTTTTGTTTGTAACTCGTCTTTGAAGAGTACTTTTAGGAATATATATCTGTCAGCAGCTTCTCGAAGCGATAGTTCGTTATTCCGAACTTTTTGTACAGCTAGAATCATATTTTGAACGGACCAGTTTCCACGATCAGTTTTTCTTTTGTAATAGGAATTTGGATTTCTATTTGGCATCTGTAAAAGAAAAATATATCAGTGCCACTTACGAGATATAGAGTTCACTGAATAAAACATTTTTTAATGACTCATTATCTTTACTTAGCTATAATCAAGGTTAGAATATTATGACCTTCTTAGGTATAATCTAATTACTGAACCCCTACTTATAAATGTTTTTAGAATGAATTACCGTTATATGTAAGAATTTATGAGTAATTAATGATTTAATTAGTTAAAAGTAGGCAGGTATAAGAAGAATATCTGTAGCCATATTTTAGTTCCTAAGATGGGACGTCCCGACTTAGGAAGTTTAACTTTGTCCCATCTTAAGAGATTTGCACCCATTTTGTAAAAATCTTAACCGATATTAAACAAAAGCTTTAGTGGCAAATACTTTACAGTGAAATGCAATGACTATAATCTCTGTTATTGACTAATAACGTTAAGTTTCACAGATACTTACCATTAACGCTATATTCACTATAATGTGTACGTAAATAAATTTTAAAAAATATGTAAACATTAACAACCTGTTCTGACGAACGCTACCGGTATGCTAGCCTCGTGTCGTTTTTTACGTGACAATACGACTGAATGGCGAGCTTTCATTCTTCCAGTGCAGGTGTTGCCACTTGTTACAGATTTTCTAGAATTGCTAGTGTCCCTACTTGGGAACCGTCCCGTCTTAGGTAACCTTTTATTTCTCTAGAGGTAACTCTCCCCTACAATACAGTCTTCAATTACTTTATCTGATTTGTTGGCTGTTGATGAATATATTTGAATGATGGTCTTTATTGGAACCAAATTAAGTTAAACTACTAAACACTACCAAATGTCTAAATGTTCATTTAGACATTTGGTAGTGAATGTAATTTCCTGCTTATCTTTGATATAATTATGATTATCTATAGATATTTAATTGGAATATATAAATATACTAGATACAACTTTGAGATTACTACACATTTTTCTTTTTTAGTCCTATAATGTGGGCTGGAGTACTAGTATCACTATTAATAACAATCATAAGTTTTTACTATCTGGCTCATTTTCACGTCAATACAAGTCAACAGGTCGCCAACGACATAGATTCCCAAACACCATTTCAAAAGTCGAAAAAAGTAATAACGCTTTCTTTACACCCAGCTTTGGAGAAAATGGATGCAAACACTAAGTATATTTTAATGAAAGAAAAATATCAAGTAATTAGAAGAGAAGGAGAGCCAATTGGATTGTATCAATTTAGCGAACCAGTAAATAGCGCTCTCTATACTTTTAGCATGCTACTTCTGGTTTCTTTACCTAAACTACCCACAGGATGGTCTTTAAGGGTATTAACTGGGTGGTATTGGTTGTACTGTTTACTTGTGGTTACTGCATATAGAGCTAGTATGACTGCTATCTTAGCCAGACCTTCATTGAAGTGAGTAGTAATTTTTCATACATACTTAACTTTAAAATACATCTATCCTTTACAAAAAAAATTTACATTTCACTTTATACCGTGTGCGGCAGATAAACGGCCAATTAAAAATATCTCAAGAACTAAAGGTAACTGAAACATGAAAATTGGAATGAAGGGGTTTTAAAGAGTGACGTATTTAATGAAAATATTTTCATCTATTTGTTACTTCCGGTTATATCGGAAGTTGTTTATAACTTCGTTTTTTTTTAATGGGACATCCTGTATATTTTTTAATTTTAGAAATATTTATGTTATTCTGAACATTTTTTGTTAATTCTCTATACCTATTGTAAACCGTTTTTTAGTTATAATGGTTTTTATATGAAAATTACACTTTTCTACCATGTATGTAAAGTTCAATATCCTCTAACGTAATTGGAATAAAAGTTTAAATTCTTTATGAACTTATTAACCAGATACATCATTATCGTCTACAAGTGTAAAGTTGCCTTTTTCATTTCATCATGCATCACAGGTTGCTGTCAAAATTGGCATAAAACCGGCATCCTAAATTTTCTTCTTCTTCTTTACTGGCTTGACAACTCAGGGTGAGTCTTCGTCGCATCCACTATCGGCCTCCATCCTCTACGATCTTGCGCTTCTATTTCCCATTGTTGTACCCCAATTCTAGATAAATCATCTACCAACGTAGATAAATTCTAGATAAACCATCTATCAACCCCAATCCCAAATTTTCGCCTAATTCGAATGGAACACCCTGTATGTGATTCAATATTTTAGAAAAAAATGTTTTTCACTATTGATCTATATGAGTATTCCCTATACTTATCTCTTGCAGTTTTCAAATAAATTAACTTTATTCATTTTTGTCACAAAAAAAAATTTTTCGTAGATTATCTTGTGTGAATTTACAACTTTCATATTGTAAGTTAAACATTGAACAATTAAAAATATGCTATCTAAGAAAATATGCGCTAGCTTATTAATGTAATAAATGTTCAAAATCTTACCCATCAAGATCCAATCATTTATGAACTCTTTTAATCAGATTTTCATTAGTAGATCTTGATATCGATTCTTTTTTACATATTTCGTTAAGAACTTAAAGGAGTTTATTTATTATAGCTTCCTCAGTAGTGGCAGGTTCAGAAAACACCTTATTTTTAACATATCTCCAAATATAGTAATCTAACAGTGATAACGGGATCTTGGTGACCAGAGAAACGGATCTTTATTAGCTATCGCTAAATATTTCATCAAGCAATGTACCGACTCCTCGAATATTGTGAGCCGGTGCTCCATCTTGTTGAAATCAAGCTTCGTTAGCCATATTATTATGTAAAGCGTGCAGTGCTGGTACAATTACTTGCCGTAAAATGTTGCAGTAACGTTCTCCGTTTAAATTTTTGTCATAAATCATTAGAGCGACTATCTTATTATTTTTCACAGCACAAAAAACATTGAAAGAAAAGAATGCTTGAAATTTACTATTCCACGAGGGCTGAGGATTTTCGTCACTCCAGAAGTGACTCTTATGGGGTACCCTTTTTTGTAAACTTTGATTCATCACACCAAATAATTTTTTTTGTAAAATCTTGATCTTGACATTTCATTAAAACTCAATCGCAAAATTCTACATTGTCTTACATAATCTCCAGGATGTAAATGTTGAGCTAGTGTATACGAATAAAGGGTCCAATGATGTTTTTTAAAATCCTGTGAATTGTTAGAGTCGATACCTGTAACAATTGCTCACATTACCGTAAGGATGAATTTGGATTAGCTGCAAGATACCCAGGATATCTATTTGTAAATCTTTATTATCGACGTGGGTCCTTTTACTTATAAACTGACCAAACTAGAAACAGTTGTTCAACAAACGTTTTACAGTTTTATGATTTGGTCGAAGCTTCTCAGGATATTTCTCGTCTAGACTCGTCTATTAGTTGTTTTGTTGTCAAAAAGGTAACATCATTAACAATAATTACAACAATTTAGTCTAAATCATATGTTCAAAATGATCAACCTTCATCTCTTGACAGAAAAATAGACAGTGTTAAAAATCTTTGATAAGATTTTGCATCATATCTGCGGTGATTTCATTAATTTCTTGCCTTATGCTGTGCTTTAAATCATCAAAATTGGTTTGTTTCATCATGTAGATTTTTGTTTTTAAATAGCCCCACAAAAAATAATCCAGTGAGTCAGATCGCAAGAACGGGGTGGCCATTCAATTTCGCTACGTCTACAGATCCATCTATGCGGAGATGGAGAAGATTGATCAAGAAATGTTCGTACTGCTGCTGCATATTGTGGTGAAGCTCCATCTTGTTGAAACCATATTTTCTAATAATTTCTGCAGGGTTAACAGTATCTGGGAAGCGTTATCATAAATCAGGTACTAAAACATTTTGTAGAAAGTTCAAATAACTCGGCCCAGTTACTGTACCCTTAAAGAAGTATGGTTCAAGTATTGTGTTATTTAATATGCCAGCCCAAATGTTCACTTTCTCAAGATACTGAGTATGACTTTCCTTCATCCAGTGCGGATTTTGCGTACTCCAATATCGACAATTGTGTTTTTTGGCCATTCCATGTAAGGTAAATGGTGCCTCATCTGAGAAAAGAATGTTTTTGGGAAACATCTTCATTTAGTTCCTGCAGTACCTAGTTGAATTTTATACGGATGGTATTTATTGTTTTTCAAAATTCTCAATACAGAAGTTTTACTTATATCATTATCACCACCCAATTCTCTTGTTGGTTTATGTGGATTTTTCTCAACACATCTAATTTCTTTTGATGATTCAATTTTTATCTGCCAGGTTTGCGAAGATCTTTAGCAGTTCCAAATTCTCGGAATTTTTCCTCTATTTCTACTCACTGTAGAACTGGGAAATGTGACGTTTAGGATACTTTTCATTAACTAATCTGCATACCTCAGAATGCGTTCTTGTTTTATCATACACTCCAATTTCGTAAATATTTCAATTCTCTGGATTCAGTTAATCTCATTTTAAAATAATTTAGAATAATGTTTAAAAATTCCTAATGAAACGTATTTTCGCTTCAAATTATTAAGGAGGCTAGCGAACTAATATTAATTTTAAATATTTATAATCTTTTTGTGATATGTAAATGTCCTAAAAAGATCCAATGTTACTTTTTGACAACAAAACAACCAATAGACCAGTCAATCGTGAAAAATATAATGAAATATTTTTTCCTTGACTATCCCTGTACCAAAAGAAAATATTTACATTGATTAATAGAGCATTATAAACTGCAACCCTTTTAAACGCTGTATCACATGCTACCCCTTTTTATTTAAATTTTTTGCAGGGTTACTACTACCCCTATGGAGTTCAAGATACGTTTGAATAATGTCATTGGGAAAGTGTATTTTCATATATAAAAATTGACCTGTTTCAGGACTTAATCTATCTATCTATCTATATAAGGATTTTTACAGTTGTCGCCGCCTTCCTTCTTTCAGCCAACGTCTCCAGTCCTTTTCGTTCTGCCATTCTCCATCTTTAACCATCCATAATTAACAATATACGGTACGCCGACGATACTGTGATTCTAGCTGAAAACATCGACGATCTGCAGGAGCTAATCAATAGAGTTGACATGGAATGCACAAATTGGGGACTGTCGATAAATATCGATAAAACTAAATACATGGTGACCAGTAAAGTGGATATCGGCGCAACCCAACTGATATTAAACCAACAACCGCTGCAGAGAGTTCAGAGATTCAAATACCTTGGATGTTGGATTACCCAAAATCTAGATCCATCCTTCGAAATTCGATGTAGAATTGAACAGGCAAGAAACTCATTTCAAAAATTCAAGCCTCTATTATCCAATAACTCATTAAATTTGGAAATCCGTGAAAAGTTTACAAGATGTTACGTGTGGTCTGTACTTTTGTATGGATGTGAAACTTGGACTTTAAACGCCGATATCATGAATAAAATCGAGGCGTTTGAGATGTGGTTGTATCGAAGGATACTAAAAATCCATGGACTAGCAGAACCAGAAACGAAGAAGTTCTTCGAAGAATGGGACATCAACGAACTCTATTAAATATTATTAAGAGGCGTAAACTAGAATATCTTGGACATATAATCAGAGGACCAAGATATGAGTTCCTTCGGCTAATTCTCAACGGTAAAATCGAAGGAAAGAAATGGATAGGACGGAAGAAACTCTCTTGGTTGAGGAATTTGCGGCAGTGGACAGGTTTGACAGCGGACCAATTGCTACACGTAGCGCAAGACCGAGATCAGTATAACAATATTATAAGCATGGTAGTCGCCGACGTTCCGTAGGGATATGGCACTCTAAGAAGAAGATTCTCCATCTCTAAGGTCTCGTCTTTACATGGCCTCGTCCACTTCATCCCTCCATGATATTCGGGGTCTACCTCTTTTCCTCCTTCCTATTGGGCTCCAATCCGAAATCTTTGCTATCCACCTTGTATGATCTGTTCTTCTCACATGTCCATACCAAATTAAACGTTTTTCTTCGATGTAGCTGAGTATGTCTTGTTCTACTGCCATTCTTCGTTTTATCTCCTCATTTCTGATGCGATCTATTTTTGTCACTCTGCAGCTTCTTCTCATGAACTCCATTTCAGTTGCTGTGATTTTGGACCTGTTTCGTTTATTTATTACCCAATTCTCTGCTCCATAGGTCATTATACTTCGTACCAACGTGTTATAAATTATCTTCTTTCTATTTCTGGTAATCTGTCTATAGTATATTTGAAGAATAAGCTGGAGTAAATTCTCAGAAAAAAAAACTAAATTGTTAATCATATTTTAGTACGTGTGATTTTCGTACAACTTCAATATTTTAGCTTATTTTACGTTGGGTTTGACTATTTAGATAGAAATTTTTCCATGTCACATGGACTATCGTAAAATTTAAATACCTGCTATTGTTAGAACTGTGTAGGCTAGGGTTTTTTCTGCTGATCATAGACGTACTTTAAGGGTATTACATTATTTGTTTCGGTTTGTTAGATATTTAAACCATTTTTTCAAAGCATATTATATTTATATAAATCTGTTTATTTTAGTAACGTTATTTATAGTTATGTTTGTCGTTATGATAATGACCCATTAAATAACCAGAAATAAAGAAACTCTTAAAATACATAGGTATTTAGTTAATTGTCTTTTGATAGTTTAGATAGAAAAAGTCGATTAGCGAAATATGGTTTCTGATAAATGTGAACGCTATCTTAAATAGTATAAATTTCGATTTTGTTTGGAAAACCAATGATTAATAAAATGGTTAATGGTCTTTAAATAGTCATTCATTAATATCAGAAAATTTTTGTTTAGTCGATTATAAGCGAGTGAAGAGATCTGACACAGTTGTTTTTTGCAAGAGTGAATAGTGATTATATAGAATATGGAATTAACGTGTGATTATACACTAGTTAAAAAATTAAAGTTGAATCATTTATCACTTAACGAAAAGATGTTATCCTTAACGTCTACAATTATTTTAAGCAAGACAATCCCTCCAATAATGTTGATAGTATAGTTGAAATTTCGTCTAAAGTAGTGGGATATTCAAAATCAACTGTATATAACATTTTAAAAGAGGAAAAATCAGCTGGTATAACGCCACCCATACCGAGACCAGGAAGACCAAAATTGTCGAAAGTGAATTTGGATGAATTTTTCAAAAATGCAATTCGTAGAATGGTCCACTCATTTTTTTTAACAAACAAATACCAACTTTATATAAAGTTTTACAAGCTATTACCGACGATTCCGATTTACCCACAATAAGTAGAGACAAACTTTGCATGAGTTAAACTTTAAGTATGAAAAAGTGGGCAGACAGTCAATGCTTATCGATTCCGAAGAAATTGTGTGTTTGAGACTAGACTACCTTAGAAAAATAAAAAAAATGAGGACCGAAAATAAAAACATTTATTATTTAGATGAAACGTGGGTTAATGAAGGGCATATTGTAGGAAGAGTTTGGAAAGACAAAACTATAAAAACATGTCGACAAGCATTTCTGGAAGGATATTCACCTGGTTTCAAGGAACCAATAGGTAAAGGTCGACGATTAATTGTTACCCATATAGGTAGTATGAATGGTTTTCTTAATGAGAGTTTACTTTTGTTTGAATCAAAAAAGACCTGTGATTATCACGAAGAGATGAACGGAGACGTGTTTGAAGAATATTTCGAACAGATGATTGAATTCATACCTAAAAATTCAGTTATTGTGATGGACAATGCAAGTTACCACTCTAGATTAGTTGAACGTTTACCAACTACTCAATGGAGGAAAGATGAAATTGCAATGTGGGTAACTTCTAAGAATTTAATCTTTGACGATACAATGACAAAAGCAGAATTATTAGAGCTTGCTAAAATAAATAAACAAAATTATAAAAAATATGTCATTGAGGAAATAGCCAAAAAACGAGGAATTGAAATACTTCGCCTACCGCCGTATCATTGCGAGCTAAATCCGATTGAATTAGTATGGGCCGAAGTTAAAAGTAACGTAGCTCGAAATAATACAACTTTTAAATTGTCAGATGTTACTATTCTTTTTCATAAATCAATATCCGAAGTAACGACTAAACATTGACAAAAATGTATTAATTACGTTATGGATATTGAGAAAAATATGTGGGAGCTTGATCATATAATAGATAGCTGTATAGAACCTATAATAATTCATCCCGGATCGGATAACACTTCGTCTGAAACAGAATATGAGGAAGCTTAACTTTAAACTGTAGCTCAGAAGTTTATTTTACATTTGCCGACAACTTCATTGTTTATTTTTTATTTATTTTTTATTGCTAATTTAATTTTCATTCTTTTCTCCAATATTATTAGTATTAAGAATATTATTATTTATTAATAGGAATATATAAAAACTTACAGTTTTTGTGTATGTATTTTACGTTTCAGTATAATTTATTGTATTTTATTATTTTATATTAACTGTATGTTTCACAAATAATAGAATTTTTATTCTTTTTATGTGTATCTTTTTATTTTAAACCGGTATTGGATTGGATTAATTACTTTGTTCTAAATATCCCAATAAATTTAACGCAAACTTTTCTTTTAAGATTGCGTTTTAGTTAGAAGATGTGCACGCCTATGTATTTCGAGGTGCGAAGATTAGTATTCTGAGAATTTACTCCAGCTTATTCTTCAAATATACTATATCCCAGATTACCCCGTTATCTCTTGCTCGGTGGTTCCATTTTTTGAGAGTATGAATATGTATTCATACTTTTAATCTGTATTCATAATATGGTATAAAATGAATTTATCCGTTACTTTAGAATCTCACTGTATAATATATAGTTAGACAACAAATTATGCAAATATAATAAACAAACTCGTGTTTAAAAGCAATATTGAAACTTGTGTCTCAAAAAAAGATACAGGTGCATTGCAGTGAGAAATTAGCTTAATAATCTCTTAATAAGAAAAGTTGACATATACCATAATGCAATATAAAGCTTACGTTTCTTATTTTAGAGTAAAAATAGATACAGTGGATGAACTGGTCGAAAGTCGGTTGACTTATGGTGGCTGGGGCGAAATAAATAAGGAATTCTTTAAAAAATCCACTGACCCGTCACTGGAAATAATCTCGAAAAATTTTATAACAGTGAATGATTCAGAAGATGCCGTAGACAGAGTAGCAGAGGCGTCGTTCGCTTTTTACGAAAATACATATTTCTTAAAAGAAGCTTTAGTAAAGCGACAACAAAGATATCAAAATATGTTTAGTTCTTCTGACAATTTGACAACCAATTCTAGTAAGCCGATGGACGAAAAAGTTATAAAAGATGATAGAACTTTGCATATTATGGATGATTGTATAATTAACATGCCTGTCTCTATAGGTAAGAGGCTAATTTGATTACTTGTAGCTATTATCTTAATAAATATTAATGCCAAATATATATATATATATATATATATATATATATATATATATATATAACAAGCGAGTCTTCTACAGCTGGCGCCGCTTCTCGCATCCTAATTTCCAGCGTTTTCTGTCGAAGCAATCTTCAGTTGTTAGATCTCTGGCGGTCATTGCATCGTCGACATCGTCTCTCCAGGATCGTCTTGGTCTACCTCGTTTTCTTCTAGTTGGCGGAGTCCATTCTTCTATTTTTTTTGGCCATCTATTTTCCGGCATTCTCTGAAGGTGTCCATACCAGTTAAGTCTTTTGGCTTCGATTGTGTCTATTATGTCTAGATCGATTTCCATTTCTCTCCGAATATCTTCGTTTCTCACCCTATCAAGTCTAGTGAGCTGGCAACATCGTCTCCAGTAGTTCATTTCCATGGCCTTAATTTTTGATTTGTTTCTTTGGTTTATTTCCCAGAGTTCGGCGCCGTACAGTCCAATACTTTCTATTATTGTTTTATAAATTCTTCTTTTATTTTCTTTTGTTATTTTTTTATTCCATAATAGTCCGTGTAGCTGTCTGGTGGCTGATCTTGCTTGGCCAATCCTGGAATGTATTTCTTCGCTACTTCCTGCTTTTGATGTTATTTGGACTCCCAAGTACTTAAAATTGTCTGTTTATCGGTTTGATTAAGTCCATTTGGTGTACTCATCTTCCAGTTTTCTAAGCATGTAGCTTATATCACTCTCGTCTTCAGCTAGAATGGCTTGGTCGTCAGCGAAATGTATCGTGTACAATCTATCATCTCCGATTGGGATGCCCATATTGCAGCACTTTCTTCTCCACAGTGAGAGTGCCTCATTTAGATATATTTTGAAGAGTGTAGGTGTTATGCAGCAGCCTTGCTTTAGGCCCTTACTAATAGGAATTTCTCTAGTTAATCTATTTCCAGTTTTAATGTTTGCCGTCATATTTTTGTAGAGCTGTTGTACTGCTTGTATATTTTTTTGCTTATTCCTTGTTTTCCATTGCTACAGCATTGAAAGTGGTACACTATCGTATGCCTTTGTCAGATCTATAAAGACTATATGAGTTGAAAGGTTATGGGCTAATATTTTCTCGATAACTTGCTTTAGAGAGAATATACTGTCCATATGCCTGTGAATATGCCAAATTAAAACTATTTACTCAGATGCTAATAATATTAATATTCTACTCAACAATACTGAGTTTAAGATAATTAATTTCTGAACTAGGGAATGGTAAATTTTTAAAACGAAAATACATACCGTAAAATGGGGTAACTTAAAATACTTTCAAAATTCCAACAGTTGTATTATCTGAACTGTTCAAATTTTTTTCATTCTTGTGATTCAAGAACTTCGGTATGTGTCTAAAGATTACATTCAAATATAAAATAAGTTGAGATTTTTATTGTTAATATATGATTGGAATTTTTTATTGAATGTTTCAAGTGACCCAAGTAACAGCTATTGGATCAGGTAAGTTCCAGTTATTGGGCATTTTTCATAAGCCAATTTGATTAAAACAAAGTCATTACTTTTATAATTTTTAGTTTTAAGAGCATTTGATCATCGGCGTAGCTAGCCTCAGTTTTCAAGGGGGGCCTGGGCCCCAGTGTATGGTTGATTAAAAATTTAATTTTTTTTATTTGCCGTGCAATGAAAAAATAAATAGAAGAAATGCGTTATAATAGTATACTGGTTTTATTTTTTTAATATACCTAATACATAATATAATATATACACTGCGATAAATATTTATAAAAACAAAATATTAACAAAATATTACTTACAAGAGAAACTTCCTACTCTGTTCACTAAAAGAATTTACAACACTCTCTAAGTCTATGTCTACATCTTTTTCTATATACAACAAAGCCAAATCTGAATGTCTATCTTGAGTCATTGTCGTTCTTAACCAGTTAAAAATCCGCCTCATGGCAGAAAAAGACCTCTCGCACGTTGCGCTTGAAATAGGCAAAATAATCGATACTTTAAAAAGTTGGTAGAGGTTGGGATATGTTTTTTCTGAATCAATTAAGTTTTTTTTTATATATTCATAACAAACAGTTTCGTTAGATTGTAAAATACAATTTTTTAAAACGGTCATTTCTGCACTTAAGGCAAAAGTGTTGATATTTAAAATTTTGCGATATTGTTCAATGAATTTCTCTGAACCCTCAAAATCTAACTGAAAAAAATGATCTACTGAATTGGCAAGCGCCATACTTTCTGGTGAGAACCTTTTGTTCAGAAATTCTCTTACAGTATCAATAATCCGGTAAAAAATGTTTGCCCTCCAATACTCAATGACTCCTACGTTAGCTCTGGAGCATGTGGCGTCTATCAAACCCAATCCTACGGTTGTTTCAGTGACGAAGTCAACGAGCTTGCTACTGGCTTGCTTTTTTCTTTTGGCTGACGAAATTTCCAATGAAATTTGGTATTCTGTGGCAAAGTTCGATATGTTTGTATGAAGATGGGTATAATATTGTTCATTTCTCATTCCATCTAACGAAGTCATAACACTTTTAATAACCTTAACTGCTTTCCCCAGAGTTGCACCTTTCTCCTGGAGGCTCTTTGATAATATATTTAAAATGTTTAACACCTCATCCAATACAAAAAGATGAATTATAAATGATGGTTGTTTAATGCTGGATAATATCCCAACTGCTGTAATTGACTGTTTATTATTTGTATGAGCAACTTCGTTTTCCAGTGTTGTGACGATTCCCTCGAAACATGTTTTAACAGCGTGGCAAGTCGTATATCGACACACCCAACGAGTATCTGACAGAGTTTTCAACTCCCTGGGAACAATATTCATGTCCTTCAATATTTGTTTGTATTTTTTATGGTTTTGAGGATCTGAAAAATGTTCGTAAAGTGCTTCCAAAGTACAAAAAAATGTCGATATTGAGGGAACATTTTTACAGGAGTCTACCAGAGCCAAGTTAAGTCTATGAGCTAAGCAGTGCGTGTAAATTGCAGCTGGAAATTTCTCTCGCATTTGTGTTTGAAGACCACTTGTATTGCCTGACATCACCGCAGCTCCGTCATAGGATTGCCCTACCATCTGCAAGTCGCTAAGATTAAGCTCTTCCAATTTTTTGTAGATTAAAATGAATAAATCCGTAGCCGATCTATCTTCTGAACAATCAAGAAATGCAAGGAATCTTTCACGAATTTCTAAATCTTTCGATGCATAGCGAACACATAAAGACAATTGTTCCTTTTTGAAAGAACGAGCTTCATCACACATGATTGAAAAAGTTCCGGATTGTCTAATGTCATCAAGTATATTTCTTAAAGACGCCCGTGACAAGAGGGCAATAATTTCATTTTGTATTTGGGGACTGGTATAGTTTTTATAGGAATTATGTAGAATGTCAAAGTCCTTGTTATACTTTGCTATTAGGCCACATATTTCCTTAAAGTTTCCTTTATTTAATGAACTTTCGCTTTCGTCATGACCTCTGAAAGCCATGCCTTGACGAGCCATTGTTAAGGTTATATCTGCCAACATTCTCAAGTAATTCCTATTTTTCTCTATCTGGGTGCTATATGCTTGTGAAAGATGAGATAAAACATTTCCGCTTTTTATTGTCTTTTTATAATTATGCCATTTACTGAAACTTTCAATGTGATGCAAAGATGCACCATGTTTTTTTAATTTTTCGCCAGTTTTTTTCCAGTTGCGGAATCCCACTATTCTAAAAGCTTCTTCATCCATAGCAGCTCCAAAATGACGACAAGCATAGCACGAAATGGAATCTGTTTTGACGCTGTATTCCAACCAATCAAAATCTTTATAATAGTTTGCGCTGAACGACCTTTTTTTATTTCCAAACATAGTTTGTGGAAATCTTTTAAGAATAGGTTGTGATACGTTTTCACCTAGTTGGCCCAAGTCAGAAGCGTCTATTTTCACATGGTGCGTGGTTGATTTTGGTTGAATATTCTGATCCAGATCCTTGCTTGTACCGGGCTGCTGTTCAGGCTGACTATTCTCATCCTCTTCCAGTGTAGTTGGTTGTATAGACGGTAAAGATAGTGAAGACGTTTGTCTTTTGAAAAATTTTCTTATGTCCATTACCTGCAACAAAACGAAATTGAAAGACTAAAGATAATTGCTTACAAAATTTCGTTCAATTTGAGTTGATAGTTTTTGAGTTATTCGCATTTGGAAACACCGACAGACAGACAGACAGGGGAACAAAAAACGTTCAGAATCGTCTGAAACGCAAAGATCTATAAAAAAATTTGGAATGGAACATTTTTTTCCCAATTTTAAAACGATCACATACTCCTCCATACTATTGTATGTACATAATATGGTGGAGTCAAAAAGTTTAAAATCATCGAAATGAAATACAGTCCAAGAGTCTGAGTAGATACAGTCTAATTTTTGATAGAGTTGATGGGTTGGCAACACCTTTTACAATCATTAATGAAAAAGGCAAACTGACACATAACCTTGACGAAAAAAGCTATAGATACTGAATAAATTGTTAAAAATAAGCGGTAAAAAGAATAAAGTAAACTTACTAACTACTACACTTACTTGTTACTTCTGTAGTAATACGCCAACAATTCTTAAATACAGTTCACTAATACTTCTCTATTGTGTTACTACTCTATTCTATTATCGCTCGCCGTTTTATTGTTTGCTGTACACCACGCTGTACACTGTCAAGCCACGTCAAAGTATCTAACTGAAACTGACTGATCTTTGTACCTTGAACCCGTGTTGGTGAAACACGAAACGCACAGTATTGTATTCCGATAGCTATAGTATAGGCGGTTGGTACGTTAATTTTTTTATTGTTTCTTGTTTACATTGTATTTGCAATTTTTTCTATTAGAATATTTCAAGGGGGCCGCAGGGCCATCAGGGGGGCCTGGCCCCCCTGGCCCCCTCCAAGCTACGCCAATGCATTTGATTGAGAATTCTCAATAATTTTATCCTGATTATCTTCAAGGAAGCCAAACGATAAACAAGTGTTGTCAGTTTAATCATGAAGAGAATACAGTTCATCGCTTGGCTGCTCTTCAGAATGGGTGTTTTGGCTTTTCTGTCTATTTTTTGACAGCGAAGAAATGCCAGAAGTTGAAGGAAGTTTATTAAGTCTTTCTTCAAAATCTTCTAAACCGAAACTTTTTCCTGGTTCAACATTTATTTTGTATTTAACCAGGGAATTGGGATTTAGAGGTACTCATGAAAGAATTGGCAAAAAAACAGAATGGAAACTACTTAGTTTTACTGGAACTATTGTCAAAAGATGATCCATTTTTAAAAGAACATAAGAACGTACCTAAAAGCAAATTTAGGTAAGGGCAAAATGTCATATCTATCAAAAGATATATGTAACGAATTACTGAATAGTTTGTCCAATCGAGTCATAGATGAAATTGTTAGGCAAATTAAGGCAATCAAATACTGTTCTGTGTAAAATACTGGACATAACTCACAAGAACTTGAGGATACAGTTATTGGGATGTTAGAGTCTTTGAAATTAGATATTAATAACTATAGAGGCCAGTCTTGCAACAATGCCAGTAATATAAATGGCAAGTATTCTGGTTTGCAAGCACATATTAAAGTTTACAATGATTTAGCTATCTTTGTTGTTTGGAAGCAACATCTTTTTTATGTTTGTACAAGCTATCTACAATATTTTCTTCGTGTCTACACACAGGTGAGAGTTATTCTCTCGTGTAATAAACGATTCGCCTGAGTCGGGGTAGACACTGTTACCTAAAAGAGTGAATACAACCCGTTGGTTTTCTCGTTTTGTTGCCGTTAAAGCATTAAAAAGTAATTAATGTTTGATTAAAACATGTTTTATTGAAATGTCAATGGATATAAATGAGAAAAATGTAATAAGAGTTGAAGTGTTGCCGAGAGGGGGCATTTGGGCCTGTAGGACCCATCGCCGGCTCTTCGGACTTCTTCCTGTCCCCGGAATTTGATCGGGTGTTGACCATCTTTGCTTGTCGCTGGTAAAACGTGTTAATACTGCTACTGGTATAAAATAACAGTTACCGTGACAAGTATCTGTTATAGGTAACAGTTCCAAGGAACAGTTACAAAATAGCAGATCAAAATAGAAAACAGAACAGGTAAAATAATCTAAGTATTCTTTGACTTACGAAAGAAATAACTTAGTAAACAAGGAAATAAAATGGTATATAAAAATACAATGCACAGAAAATGTTTCTAATTGTTTCTTGACTTACGGAAGAGACAACTTAGAATGAAAAGTAAAATACACAAGAATAAAAGAACAGAAAAGTGCAGAAATATTCCTAAGTGTTTCTTGACTTACGGAAGAAACAACTCAGCATGAAATGGTAAAATAAAAGAGACAAATATATTAAGAAAATATCTTAGATAAATATCGGAAATAATAATGCAATAATGATTATGAAAATATTTCTAAGTGTTCTTTTGACTTACCGGAAAAGAATGACTTAGGCACACAATAAAATTAACAAGTCAAATATCAGAGAAATATTTCTAAGAGTTCTTTGTCTTACCGGAAAGAACTACTTAGACACAAAGTACAAAATCAAATTTATAAAATAGAAAAAAGTAAGGTAAATATTTCTAAGTGTTCTTAACTTACGGAAGAACAACTTAGATACAAAATACAAGAAAAATAAACAATCAAAATAATCAAATAAAATATCAAATAATCAGTATATGAACAAATATAAGTCAAAGTAATATTCTAACCTGAAAAGGTCTGAATATACAATAATAAAATATAAATGGTTATCAGGAAATAAGAAATAAAACAATAGCTTAGTCGGAACAATAATAGCACCGACTAGGTCTACAGAAGAAGAGGCAAGCTCGACTGGCCGATGAGAAAAATTCCATCTGCTTTTATATAAAACAAATCCTTTGTTTTACGTAGCAAAAGTGGAATTTCCCTGCATCGAGTCAATTAGAAATTCGGATTTGCCCAAACTTGGAATTTCCAAGTACTTCTCCGAATTTCTAAATGCGTCCGGCACGGCTGTCAGCTTCTGCCTGACACGCCTCTGGAGACAGAAGCAACTTCTCTATCGAAGAAACTTGATTTGTTGGAAAACGGAATAATTTTATTATTCTGGCTTGACATTTTATAAAGGGTTAATGAGGTGAATAAAGCAGTACAAAAGGAAAATATGGATTTAAGCACAATCGCTCATCTGTTATCATCTTTAGCAGATTACTTTGATTTTTTACGTGATCGTTTTGATCACTACGAGGCCTTAGGAATGTTGTTAACAGGAAACGAAAATTATGTTGAGAAAAGGATTATCAAAAAAAATGCAATTAGGAGAAAAGAATTCGGAGGCAAGTTTAACCCAAAAAGAAAAAATGCGAACACAATTTTATGTTTTTATAATAGATAATCTTAAGTCGGAGATTATTCACTGATATGATAGTTATAAATCTTGTTCAAGAGCATTTGAATTTTTGTTTAAACTAAAAACTAAGGAAAATGAAGATATTTGTAGATTAGCAACCGAATTACAACAAAAATACAAGGAAGATTTGGACGAGTATTTTCCCCAAGAATGTGTTCATTTAAACTATTTGTTAACGTCTCTTCCCCAATTAAAAATAGATACTCCTTTAGAATTGGTACAGGTTATATAGAAAAATAAATTAATATCTTCATTTTCAATATTAATATTTGCCTGCATATTTTTTCTCCATAATGCCCGCAAATGCAAGTGGCAAACGCTCTCTTTCGACACTAAAAATGGTAAACACCTACCTAAGAAATGTAATTTCCAAAAAAATTTGAACTTGTTAGCAGTTTTATCCATTAACGAGGACCTGCTAAATGAATTAAATATAAATGATAACATCAAAATCTTTAGTAAAACAAGAAAACAAGATTTTTAATAGTAATATCTTTAGGTTTTTAATAGTAATATCTTTAGGTATACATCCACGATTCATACCTAAAGATAAGCTTCCAAATATCCTAAAGATATCCTAAGGCCAAGGCAAGAAAAGTAATAGGAAGCCGAAAGAAAAAGAAGAGTAGGATCCTCACAAGCACGCCTGAGAAAGATGCGCTCGAAGCAAAACGGAACCAGTTGGTTTCTTCGACAATAAAACAGACAGACGTGTTGTGGATATTGAGAGTTCTTCGGATGAAAGTGAACCAGTTTTTAATTTGGGAGATAGTGATGATAACGATGATTCTTGGATAGGACCAGTGGATGATGAAGCATTTCACTGCAATCATGATCCTGTAGAGGGTGACTATGTTTTAGTGTGATTCAAAGAAAAGTCCAAAAATATATTTTACGTGGGACTTGTTGTATCGTGCAACAATTCAAAGTAGAGGTCAATTTTATTCGCCTAACCAACAGAATAGTTACCTCGTGTTTCGTATTTCCCACTGTCTCTAATATTGCTTTCGTGGAGAAAGAAGACGTCAGATTTGTTCTTCCAAATCCAACGTCACTTCGCAATAACAAGAGGCTGACAGCATCTTACAATAAATTTGAAATACATTTTGGTCATCAAGACGTTCGCTAATTAGCCTTCATTTCAAATATCAGCTCTTATGTTTTCTTGGGAAATATATAAGTATTTTACGAAGTTATATTGACTATTTTTTTTTATTTTTATTATCGAACTATGGAATATATCATGTGTCTCACTGTGTACTAGTAACATGTCTCAATGTGTACCAGGAGTGGTACACACTGAGACATATGCAAGGTTGTTTTTAAAGTTACATAACTTTTTTGAATTAAAACTACAGGCCTTTATATTTGTGGAAGTGATTATACCAAAAATCATTATGGCTAAAGCTGTCAGTTCTTATCGATAATTAAAAAAATTATATCGCCAATAATTCATTGTTTTTAAAAGTGAAACTGGAACAAACCATGAAGTGGAGATATCCAGGAGTGGCTAGTATACCTGTTGAATACAAAGCACGTGGTGTTCGTGTGTATTAAGGTATAAAAAACGCTTATTAAAAGCTTAAAATTTTTTATTATAAAGAAGATCTTTTCGGAATTGTATCATTCCATCATCAGTTTACTAAAAGAGAGAGTAAAAATACCAATATTAAAAACAACAAAGTTAAAATTTGAACATACAAAAAGAGAAAGTTGGTTTTTTACTACTTACATAAAAAAGGTTGTTAAAAAACATTGTGTGGCCACATAAAAAACATTCGGTGGACATCTGGATTTAAAAAATAATATTCTTCGTGTTATTTATTCAGGTAAATGCAATAGACTCTTGACTTGTGTAATATAAAAAATGAAACTGGGGGCATCTTATATGACCCCCTGTAGTTGGTGAAGTTTTATTGACTTACATTACCTCTGATCTGTGTTGGAGTCTAGGGCTAACTGATAGAAAGATGGTATGAAAAAACACAAGGATCTACAGACCGAGAATTTGGCATCCAAATTCCACTGATTCGCGCAATCGTACTTGTAAGTTCGTATAGTCGGCTGGAGTTACAATTTGCCAAATTTAAATGTAATCGTTTCTACTCATTCATATTAATATTATAATGTATAATATATTAAAGTTTTTAATATTGGTAATATTATTAAAGCTTTTAATACTATTTTTTAATATTAATATTAATATTAAGTAATTAAATATTGCGCCTTGCTTAAAAAAAGTACGAGATAAATAACTCGTTTTTTACATGAAAGTGCAATTTTCTTGCAAATGCCTTGAGAGGGGAAATTTCCAATATAACACCAACCAAAAGACAAAAATATTAACTTAGGTACATGCAATCATTATCACTGCTTAGCGTATTTTCATGGAAATCAACCGCTGTGCTGACTAGTATTTTTTTTTTAATTGTGATGAATAAATAAAGTATATATTAAATAAAGGGTATTTTAAATAAATTTGTAATATTTTATGCGAAAAGAAGAAAAGACTCAGTTCCGAGTCGTGAGCGTATTCGTTATATTTTCTTTAATTGTGTTAAGCTACTCGGATGTAAGTCGTTATAATTATTCAAAAAAATGAATTTACAATATTTTTTATTAAATCAAATGAGAAATGTTATAGCAAATTAAGAACTAAGGAAAAAAAAACAAACTTTCATTTCCTAAATAGCAAATTGTTTCTGAACAGTTAAGATTAACTTCCAAATAAAATTTGGATAATATTGTAAAGGCTTTTATATACTGAAATTAAATTAAAAAAGAACCTGAAAAAAGTGGAAAAATAATAAAAAATTCCCAAATTTAAATATATCTCGAAAACAAAATACGATCTGGAAAAAGAATACCGGAAATGTTTAATTTTTTTGAGTTCTTCGATTGTGTAGTACCTTCAATTTCAGTTTTTTTCAACAATACTCGAGTATTCCGATTAAGTACTCTCAGCCTTATAAAAATTTCCAAGAAATTAATATCGGATGAAGTTTCAACAAGCGAAATGAAAATCCTAATATTAAAACAGCATTATGACCAGGTACAATATCTGACTGTTATGCAAATTAGTAGGTAATTAGAATTAGAAAGTCAGTATGGGCAAAACCAGCTTATTCAAATTATAG